TATTGGCATCCCTATTTTGCTGAGGGATGAGCATGAGAAGTTCAAAAAGGTTTTCCTTTTCTTTACTTTTTTTGTGGTACTGGGGCTCAAACCCAGGGCCTCATACCTCCTAGGGAAGCACTCTACTACTAAACAACATCCCCAGCCCTTGAGGAGGCTTTTCTGTACCTAGGTCATGTATTTTCAGCCTTTCATTGAATTCAAAAGGCGTATCATTGTCCATTGTTATTTTTATTTATATATATTTATTTACCTACTTATTATGTTAGTTACACCACAGAGAAGTAGGGAATAGTTTCATACCCTTCAAGTATCTCGTAATATCAGCATTAACTAGAACCCCTGCTAGACATATTTTGGTAGTACAGAAAATCTTATGTTAGCACTTAGTGGGGTCAGATGTCTGTGGGCCAAAACACCCAAAAACCTGGGAAATTTCTCTGCCACCCAACTGAATAGGCTGTCACTAGTTTTTCTTCTACTATTGGCATCAGTATGTCAAAAGAAAGCTTTTTTAGAGAAAATTTAGCACACAATAAACCATTACACAATAGGTGAATCCAAGTCCCCTGATTAGTTACTGTTTTTTCATTCAAGCATCCAGTATCAGTTCCATATTTTGAAAGTAAACCTTTTAAAAAATCTGCTGCCTTTAGAATGGACCCCCTCTACCAGTCACATAGACTTTGTTTGTGTGAGGTGCTGGGGATCAAACCCAGGGCTTCACACATACTGGCAAGTGCTCTATCGCTAAGCCACGTCCTCATTCCCAGTTTAGTCTTCAAAACAAAACCGTGTAGCATTTTCCGTTGGCCTGTAGGCCTCTGCCACAGTGTACTCAGCTATTCCTGTCTCTGCAGAGTAAAGGACCTCTACTCTACATCTGCCTCAGAGAGAGGCACTGTGACACTTATTCTGACTGGGTGGCTCAAAGCTCATCCCAACCTAAAGTAACCACCATGCTTCTACCACTGAAGAGGACATGCACAAAAGGTTGCTCTTCTTTATATCCTTAGATTCAACTGCACCTCCAGTCAATAGGAATTCTGTCTCCATCATCACTAGCATTCCCTCCACACACACCGTACTGCACAAAGGTGCTGCAATTCTCACATAGAGCAAATATCAGGGGCGGTACTGCCAGTTTTTGCTTCGCTAGTCACTGCTTTAATATCCAAGCCAACTTGGTTCCTTCAGGTCAGTGAGTTTGTAGATTCTATGTCAAATCAGGGATATTTGAATTGGTGGCAAGAATGATAAATTGGGGCCTAAGACCCTTTCTCTGGCCCCTCCGCCATGGCACGCCAGTGAGTGGAATGTGAGTCCCCAACACACTCATTCATCCCTGTTCTTCTCAGCTTTAGGCAATTTATCCCTTAAAACTCTTTTCTCTGCTCACCCATTATCAACACGTAAGTGAGGTAACTGACCTGTAAGTAGGATTTTTTGTTTTTGTCTTTAAACTGAAAATCATGACCAGCATTTAAAAACAACGATTTCACATGGAAATCTGTTCTTACAGCTTCTACTCAGGCCTTGCCCAACCCATATAACTCATTTCATGGTCTGACCTGCAGATGTGTTTGACTCTGGGCACTTTACTGTAGCCTTTCGTAAAAGCCAGGAACAGAGCTGCAAGGGGTACCGTCTCTAGAACATAAGTATTGGTCAACGTGAGAGAGCAATATGGAATCTGGTTACCTTTTTAAGAGTAGAAAACGGAACAAGTCTCAAAATAACACCACAACAAATGATTTGTCCCCACTACCAACGGAAACAGCTAACGCATTCAAAAATTTCATCATCCCTATGCCCCTCACAGAGAAAAGTCACTTAATCCTCACAAAAACCGTGTGAGGTAAGGACTATTAATCTTGTTTTATATACAGAAAGAGTGAGGTGCAGAGAGAAATGACTTGGCTAAGTCATGAGACTTGGAAGCCAGGTGTGCATGACTTTTGGCATGGGCTGCACTATCTTTCTTACAATAAGTATAAGTTGCCCCTCCTTAAGGATTAAAAGTACCCAGATTAACTGTCAAGTTTAATCATATCTGATCCTGGACAGAAAGGGACAATTAATCTTGACTATTATTTACGACTTTCATTACTATTTCTTCTTTTGAGTGGAGACTATTTTCTTAGTACTTCTTGAAGATCACGGTATGGCACCATATTTTTACAAATAGCAGTTATTCAAAAAACATGCTTATTTTATTAGTCCTGAGGTTTTCCCCTAAATTTTAATAAATGGATGTGAGTCTGTGTATGTATGGGGGAGAGGGCTGAAGAAGGGAAATACAACTCATGATCTTTCCTGTGGTGGGGCACAGAAATTGGTGAAAAGACAAAAAATATAGGAATGTCACAAAGTAAAGAGTTTCTCCAAAATGTGAAAGAGCTACAGTAAAAGAAAAGCTTAAAATGAACCACAATGCTTTGTGTGGCTTTTTTTTTTCTGCAGAAATTTATACAAGTAAAAAGCTAACCTAATAATTAGCTATTAGGTTAACAAACTACTGAATTCTGTACCTGTCAGATTGAATTTGCATGCTTATATGCTTACAGTGCAATGAATCTCACATTGTCTAATGGATAAAAATGACATTTTATAATTAACTTATGCATTTTGAAACAGTGATTGGTTCTTCATAAAGTTATAATGAAATTTTCCCTCATAAATTTAAGCTAAAATGTGATGATTTATTCTAGAACTGAAATTACTGCCACTTAATATAGCATACGAAAGGAAATTAGATTATAGAATAATAGATAAAGATGGTGACAGAATTCCATTTGTAGATGGGAAATTGCATGTCATTAATTTTGTATAGTCTGTGAAAGAGCAACATGCAGACTAAGTTGATAGCTTTTAGTACCTCTGATGAGGGGATTTTTGGGAATAATAATGTTTGGGAGAGAGATCCAGGAAAACAAGATATATCGATGGGCAGCTCCTGGTTCTTTTGAAGCTACTAATCAAAATGAGATTATTCATATACAATGACAATGACTAAATGGCCCTGAACTGAGAGTTAAATGCACTAAAACTGAGTCTTGAATTGGTGAAATGATTTGCCTAAGGTTACCCAGCATGTAAGTGGCAAAGGTAGGCCCCAAATCATGATCTCCTGGGGTGCTCTTTCCACTGGAGACATTTGGTTCCATTGCTTGGGTCTACCTTTGTCTAGAGTTTAATGTTAAGCATTGTTGCACCACTGGTTGTACTTTGTTAGTTGTTGATTTGTTTCCTAATCTTCTTTAAGTTTTGTTAATATGGATATATTAGATCTTCCTAATATGTTAAATGAGAATATTGGTATTGCATGGACAAACACTGTGAGAACCAGTTTCTTCAACAAATACTTTGAAGGGAAAAAATTAATGGGCACCTACAGATGAAAAGAGACAAGAAATATGCCAGCCAAATGTATTGTATTTTGGAATTTATTGGATCCTGATTTGAACAAACTAATTGGAAAACATTAGACAATCAGAGAAGTTTGAACAACAGTATATACTTAATGATATTAAGGAATTGTTAAATGTCAGGTGTAATAGAATTGTGGTTAAACATTTAATGTTTTAGAATTTTTTAAAAAAAAAGTTTTCCTGTAATAGAATTGTGGCTAAACATTTAATGTTTTAGAATTTTTTTAAAAAAAGTTCCCCTCTCAGAGTACTTATCAAAAATGATGAACTGATGTAATGTTAGGGATTTCCTTCAAAATAATGCAGTAGATGAAGATGGATGGTCTTGGGTTGATTAATCATGGAAGCTAGGTCCTGAGTATTTATATGCCGATCACATTACATTATCCTTCTTTTTAGTATGTTTGATATCTTTCTTTTCACAAAAGAATACTTTATTCAATAATGCACCCACAGTAGACCATTGCTTTGATTTTATATTTTATAATACCTCATTTTGGGGAAGACCCTGGGACCCTGAAACGAACTCAGAAGTAATCCAGTCCAATCTCCACATGTTCTTTGTTGGGCATAAACATGAAAAAGAACATTAAGGAAGAGAAAATAGCACTAAGTCCCGGACAGATTGTTATTTGTCTCAAAACAATAACTTCTATGTTAACAGAACAAGAAAGCAGTAGGGTTGAAGGCACAGGTCCAATACCATGTGTTATCTCATTCAGCAGCTTAATTTTTTTCCCTATCAGTTGTTATTGTAACTTTTGTTTTTCGAAGCAGAATTATTATAAAACATTAGTGCTAAAAATGTTCACAAATGCTTCGAAAGACTTGGTTTTCTAGTTTCTAAGCTAGACAACGTTCACGAGCTTTCTAATCTTTCCTAAGTTAAAAGTCTGAAATCGGGAGATCTAAAAGGAGCAAAGATGAGTAGGCAGCATTTCGACGCTGTAATTGGTCTTGCCTTTTCTTGGGTACCAGACCTATACCTTTAACTTTTCCTGCCCACGTGACAATGTTTTTGTTTTCAGGGGAATTTCTAAGGTAGAGGGCATTCTGGGCGAGTTTACGCCAGCGCCCACAGTTACAGTAACTACCGTATTGATCCTACTTGCTTCCCAAAAGTAGAAATTTGAGGTGGCAACGAGGACAGTTTAGGGATCCTAGAGTTCAGACCTAAGGCTTTAATTTTTTTTGTAGGTTAAATTTTTAAGCAGAGTTGACACTAGGTGGCTAAAAGAGATACTTTAAAAATTCTTATTGTTATATCTCTTAGGATTTTTTTATGGGGACATAAAGCAGAGAATACGATACTCTCGTACTCCGAAGAGAAGCGGCCTAGGAGGCACCCGGAAGCGCTTATTGCGGTAGTGCGCCTGCGCGGCCGTACGTCAGCGCTCGCCTGCCTTCTCTCGTCCGGCTAGCAGGGGGCGCTGTGAGATAAAGAACGAGTCTTCTCCCCAGGGCTCTGGAACACGCGCGTCAAAGGGCGGGAGGTGGCGCGGGCTGAGCGGCGTTCTATCCTCGACTGCCCTGGTCTCTATCGCCCTTTGTCCTCCAGCCTCCCCCGGGCACTGGGCCTGCGGCCTGGTTGCTAGGCGGAAGCGGAGCGCGGCGGCGGCTGCCGGGGCGTTTGAAAAGCGTCCGAGCCGGCGGCAAAAGGTCCTGGGGCGGCGGGATCGGGGTCGGGGTCGGGGCCAGGCTGCTAGGCGGTCTTTGCGTGCAGGCACGGCGAGGCCGGCGCCGGCGGCCTGGGGCCGGGGAGCCCGGCGTTCTGCATGCGGCGGCGCCACTGGGCCCTGCAGTGGGGTCCCGGCTTCTGGGGCCTTGGGGAGGCGGGGGGGACACCGCCAGGGGCCTGGGGTGCCGCGGCTGACGGGGGCCCCTCTCCCCCAGCAGACCCCGCTTCTGGCCGCGGCCGCCACCATGGTCTCCAAGTCGGACCAGCTGCTCATCGTCGTGTCCATCCTAGAAGGTGAGCGCGGCGGGCTCGCTGGCGGGGCGGCTGCTTCCGGGATGGCAGAGCCGCGGCGACCCGGGCTTCTCACGAACCTGGGCTTGTCACGGCTCACGTGGCGGGGGCTGTTAGGCGACTACTGAAATATCTGCCGAGGGCTGTGAGGGCCATTAGCGACGAGAGAGATTAGGATGACTAGCTGCATGTCCATCCCTTTGAGCTGAAAACGTGCCTGGAAGCCCGGTCTGCCCAGGTAATGTCACCTGTGAGACCCGGCACCACTTCACCGGCCCTGCGGGGTGGTTCCCCTTGCGAGACTCCATGGAGGACCTGAGGGATTATATGCGCCTTGAAGTTTGTTGAGTTGAGCGACTCTTGGTTATTGGGGACTCGCTGAGTGGCAGGCACTGTGCTGGCGGGGCAAGGATGCGACAGTCCTGGTTCTGAACGCTAAGCATCGTGTGAGAACGTTGTGAGGTCACTAGGATGAAAGCTATGACTGCCTTCGTCTGGGAAAGTGCACCAGACGAGGTGGCGTTTATTTGGGTCTTAAAGGTGGTTAGGCATTTGCCAGGTGAAAAAGGGAAGGATGGGCATTCCAGGCCAAGAGAAGAGCAAAGAGCACTTAAGGTGTGAAAAAGCAAGGGTGCTTTGCCTTGCTGAAATCCCGGATGGTTGGAGAGCGGGTGACAAGCAGGTGGAGGGCCTAGGAGTTTTTAGGTAAATAGGGAGCAGATTGTGAGTAACTCGATAAGGAGGAGTCGTCTTGAGAGCTGGACCACAGGTGTGGGTGTTTTACTCCCATGGGCAGGTGTTTTGTGGAGTGTGGAGGCCTGGTACTATTTAGAGAGGGAGAGGAAAGGAAACTCTGAGCCTAATTTTTGAGTTTTGGAACGAGAGACTGATCAGAAACCATTAAAGAATTGGGATAATATTTATTGTTAGGTTACTGTTCAAAAACATAAGACTGAACTCACCTGACAATTTAGTTAACAAAAGCTTTCAGAGAAAACTGATTTATGCTATGAGGAAACAAATGCAATCCTTTCCCTTCAGGTTATTAGGGTCTGTCTTCGTTGGTGCTGATCAAGTTAAATGTTCAGGACACAATATGTTGGGATATTATATAATAATGAAAACATGTGCTGTAGACTATAGATACAAGTTTTGGGGTAGAGTAAGGGTAATGGTTGAAGTGCTTTTGGTCATAAATGTTAGATAGGAGAGGACAAAAAACCTCAATCCGGGACACTGTTCAGCTGGGACAGCATGGGAATGAACATTGAAGAAGGCAGCAAGATGACTGGGGTAGAGGAAGGTGAATGTTTAGGATATTGTGTATGTGTGGTAAGAAATGAGCTTGTATAGCTAGAGTGAATAGAATTTGGAGGATGTTGAAAGCTAAGTTTAGAATTAGTATTCTAAGAAATAGGTTGGTGGCATTCAGTGCTTTACCTACGTACAGTTTAACAGTAGCGTGCAGCGACTCCCCTGGAGTCGGGGATGGCAGTTGTTGCCACAAACATACGTTCCGGTCTGTGGTCCTGCCTCCAAACTCCTCCTCTTGAGTTTGTATTTCCATTCATTGTAACATACAGATGTCTTAAGCCAAGAATCTGGGATTCATCATCCTTGACTCCCTTCCCATCCCTGACTTCCAGATGGTCACCAAGTATTGGTGGTTTTATCTTCTAAGTAATAGTAGGTGCTACATTCAAACTTTTGAGTGAGTTTCCATTGTGAGTACCTTGATTGGAGGCCTTCATTACCCACCTACCCTACTGCAGTAATCTTCAGTAGTCTGTTTCCTAAATGTTTTCTTCCTTTCCAGAAACATCTACCATCCCTTACTATCTGGTAGTAATCTTTATATTGTGCAAATCCAGTTGCCTTAAAATCTTTCAGTGTCCGAAAGGACATTAGCACTTCTTAGAATAGCAAGCATGGCCCCTTATGGTAGAACTCTTGCCTACCCTTTCAGTTTCATGCATGGCCAGCCCTTCAGCTATATGGAGATGCTTGTAATTTCTTGACTACACTTCTAGGAATGCCCTTTATTTAAAAGAAACTGATTGAATTTCTGCCATGAACAAAATATAACCTATGAACTAGATTCTAAGGATGAAAAGAAAGGTTTCTGTTCTCAGTGTATTCACTGTCTTTGGAGTAAGGCAGGTACCTTCTTCTTCATTGCATGTCCGCTGTTTTCAAGCTTATTGGAGGTTTGATTGACTAAAAATAGAGATTCATTTACATATATGAAATTCATTTGAGGAACCTAGAGATCTTTTAAAGCAGTCAAAAATAATGTCCAGAGAGAGGCCTCTTGAGTGCTAATTGGAAGAACTGGGCTATCTGTGTTAAGACTTGTGATGGAGTGTCAGGTAAGAGCCTCAGGCTGAAACTCACAAGGTTTTCAGTCCATCTTTTTACCAGTTCGATTCCTACCAAGTAGCTTGCAGCAGGAATTGCTTTGCTTAACAGTGGGTAAAATTCCCCGCACTGTGATCCCCTTTCACCAGTTTTAAAAACAGGACTGTTTTTCTCAGTGCAAGATTCTTAAGGCTTCTTACTTAGTATTCTTTTAGTTTCCTTAATTTTTAGTTTTTATATATTGTTTTGAGACAAGGTATCACTTTGAAGCCCAGACTAGCCTCTTACTTTCAATCCTCCTGCCTCAGCCTCCCTAGTGCTGGGATTGCAGGGGTCTCCCAACATGCCTCAATCTTTTTGCATCCTATCATCTGATGTAATGTGTAACTTAGAATATGCCTTCAGTAAACATTGAAGAGATGGGGTCAGGCAATGTAAATGAAAGTGGATGTGTAGATCAGATGTTTTAATACTTCTTAATAATATACAGTATTGTCCTGGTGAACAGGATGAGTGAATATGTGTGCTTGTTTTTCTTTAACTATTTTGGAGATTATTATTAACCATGTTAATAGGAAAATTAAGATACAGGTAAACTTGCTTTTGCTAATTTGATTTCCTAGCTCTTCAGATGACTGTTCTTTATAAAGTACTTGAATGGAAATATATGGTGTGGTCACATTTTTAACTCTGACACCAAATGTCACTGAGCTCATTACTCCTCAGTGTGAGCCAAGGACAGCACTTTTGCTGTCACCTGAGATGTGACCTCATGCCCACCTGAGACTCAGTACACCTAAACCTGAATATTAACAGGGTCCCCAGGTGAATTATATGCACGCTAATGTTTGAGAAGCACTGATTGTACCTTTCAGTTTGATTCATGGTTCTTAATAATTATAAAAGTGAGTGCATATGAGAGTTTGTGTTAGTGAGGTAGATTGTGCAGTATATGATAAGTCAACCACTATTAATCTATTACCATTTTAAAAAGCATGTCAAATGAGCCTATTTGACTTCTGTGCATTTCTTTCTTCAGGTCGCCATTTCCCCAAACGTCCAAAGCATATGCTTGTAGTAGAAGCAAAGTTTGATGGAGAACAATTGGCTACTGATCCTGTGGCTCATACTGACCAGCCGGAATTTGCTACTGAGCTGGCCTGGGAAATTGATAGGAAAGTGCTTCATCAGCACAGGTGACTGCTAATTTCAATTTAAATTAACATCTTAAGTCCCAATAAAAATTTTGAATACCAAAAAAAGAAAAAAATTAACATCTTCTTTGGTCTTTTCTACAGGCTTTATAAATTTTATAACTCATTGGATTTATTACTAATTGTATTTATTGTGTTTTTAATATGTCATGAAATTTTTATAGTACTTTGCAATAATATTACACTTAAACATGACAGCATTTTAGATGAGTCCTAAGAGATGAAGTAACTTGCCCTAAGTCTGTTGGTTGGGTAATGGTAGAGCCCAGCTAGTCCAGTTCTAGAGCATAAGCTTTTAAACATTACATTAAATTTAGCTGCTTTTTTCTTTCTTTGAGGGGTGAGCCTTAAGTTTGAGACAGTAGGTATTTTGGAAGTATCTTGATGATGCCTTACAAATAATTGTTGGAATTCAGTGGAATTTCTGTTTGTTTGTTTATTTATCTGGCTTGCCAAGAATATATAGAAGTATCTAGTGAAATGTTGACTATTATAATGAAAGAAATTATATAAGGGATTCTAATTAATTTTGTATTGTTGAGTTAAAAGTATACCATCTAGTTTTTTCATGAACTCTGACCAGAAACAGTCAAGAATAGCAATATTTTTGTGTATTAAACGATTGAAAATATTTCCTTCTGGGAAACACATAGTTAACTCAATACTTGCTCTTAGTACTAAATCAAATCAGAATTGAAAGTTAGTAGAACGAAAGCAAGGAGAACTTTATTTGCTTCTATTGCTAAATCAGCCTATGGATTTATTTAAAAGATACTAAATTCTAAGAGAATACCAAAATGTTATATGTTCTTTCACTGGCACCTGTAACATCTGCTTAGGTGGGATTTTGCTATGAGATGTCCTGGTCTGCATTTGTAGTTAGGTTTGCAATTGCCTTAGTGCCGAGTGGTACCACTTTGATAGTTGTAAATTGAGAAAACAGACATAAATTGAATTTAGAAATGGCCATTTTGTGCTTAGTGCAGTTAAATAGTAATTCTGCTAGATTAAAGTAATGACAAAATCTATTCAGCTCAGTACTTGAGCCAGTACAGGGTTTCCACACTAAAAAAGATCCCGTGCTATACGAGGCAATGTCATACTTGCAGAACATTGTCATGTATTATATTAAATTATTTAAATTTTAATACTTTGATTTTATAGGATTTCATTCCTAAACTTATTTTGTTTTTATCTATTTTTTGTGGTACTGGGATTTGAACTTAGTCTCACATTTGCTAGGTATGTGCGCAACCACTTGAGCCACTCCTCTAGCCTTAGTTTTCCTTTTTGTGTAGCTACAAAAAAGCTATAAGCATATATGTGTATTTGTTATTTTTTATGTGACAGTATGGTATAAGAAAAGTAATTTAAAATCCTGAGGATTCATAATAATTTTTAATTTTCAGTGGACTCTATACATTACAGAAGATTAAAAAAAATGGTATCTATTAATACATTAATAGATGTAGTTAATAGTTCTTCCCAGTGGAAAGTTTTTTAGAAAATATAGAATAGCTATAGCTAACCCAACAAAATTGTAATTATCTGGATTGCAATAGGCAATAGGCAATTTTTTCAAGGCTGATAATGAAAGTGAATTCAAAATTAAGAAAAAACCATTTTATTTATCACACAAATTGTTACACAGGTTACAGCGCACTCCTGTCAAACTCCAGTGCTTTGCTTTGGATCCTTCAACTTCTGCCAAGGAAACCATAGGTTACATTGTTCTGGACTTGAGAACTGCTCAAGAAACAAAGCAGGTATTGCCCTTTGGATGTTTTGGTAAAGATTATGTTATACAGTTGATGACTTTCAATAGATACCAGATTAATGAAAAGAACACACTTTATGTTCTGGACCTGATGCAGAGCCTGGGCTTGAGTGAATGGCACAGTTGTTACATTTTAGGTTATGAATTGCATTCAACAAATTCCAGGATTTCTTAAAGGAACTTGGTTCTGAGCTCAAACCTGTGTCCAAGTAGTTGTGACCTCAAGCTTAACGTTTTCACCTCCTGAGCTTTGCTCTCAAAGGTGGTCTGCTTCCGTTGTGCCTTTCCTTTCCAGTTGTTTAAGTTGGAAACATAGAAGTCTTCTTGATTCTTTTCTTTCCCTTCCTTCATAAATTACGGTTAGTTTTTCCCCCCCTCTTCTCCAGCTTCACTGCTGCTACTCCAACCTAAGCCTTCTTCATTTCTTACTTTGAGTCTCATTTCCTAATTGGTTTTCCTGCTTTCATTCCTTTCAGGGAAAGGAATACTGGTTATATAACATTAAGTGTGTTTCAATTAAATTATTTTTAATTTAAGTGCGTCTTTGCTGGTTTCTTCTCTTTTAGACTGGTATAAGTAAATAATCCTTATGTCTCATTTTATTAGAATGATCATGTTATTGAGCATCTCCCCCTATTGTGCCAGATAATTTTCATAGTGCTTTGCAACGATAACTTATTAAATGCCAGACTTGGTGGTACACGCCTGGAATTACAGCACTCAGAAAGCTGGGTCAGGAGCATCGTTAACTTGTGTCCAGCCTGGTCTACAATAATAAGACCTTGTCTCAAAACAAAAACAAACAAAAAGTCCCTCATTTAACATCAGAACAATCCTTTACGTCGTTGTATTATTATTTCCCCCATAATGAATGAAGAAACTGAGTCCTGAGAGGTTAAGAAACTTGTCCTAAATCAGAGTAACTGAACTTACTGAGATAACTTAATGTTGTGTAAGCATTACCTGTTCTCCCTAAGGAAAAGAACTCAGGTTCTTAGTTCTATATCAGTGCTTTTTGTTATTGACCATGCTTCTGGTGTGTTAAAGTGTTCCCCACCCTTTTTATATGTGGTTGACTTTAGAAATCTCTCTTTCCATTTCCCAATGTCTTTGGTCACTTTCTTTTTTCCCTTAAGAAATGTAAAGTTTAAAAAAAAAAAAAGATTTTTAAGTTCAATTAGGAGCATAGCTCAAGTGGTAGAACACCTGGCACAAAGTCCTGAGTTCAAACTCTAGTATCACAAAAACAATTTAAAATTAATATCTTCTTTCAATCTCTTCCGTTCTGTCCCCCATCTATTTCTTAATTTGAATCTTAAGTTAGGATTCTATGAAGAAAAATTTCTGTTACTAACATGTTTGTTACTAACACCAGTGATACTTGTAAATGAACCAGTCAGCACAGCCCAAATTTGAAGTCATTCAAAAGGATCTGAAATTTTAAAATGCTTTGAAAGAAAACTGGTCCCCTCCCCCAACCCCATTGTAATATACTCATTATCTCTCTGCTTCAAGGCTTTATCCTGAAAGAATTTCCTCCTGACTGATCACCCTGACATTTCCTTTACTGGGGTGTCTCGTGTAACATGTGCATGTCTGCAGTCAGTTTGGTTGCAGAGAAGGTGGATCCTCTTAGGAAGGTGGTACCTGAGGGAACAGATAGTACCTCTAAGTGCTCTGGGTATTCCTCAAACCTTCTAGTTTTTTGGGACAGTCTGTCCTTTGATTTGTGATCAAAGTTAAGGGAAAATGGTCAGTTACATTAGTTCTGTGAAAACAAAATGCTGTCTTGCTTATCCCCTTCTGATGAGAGCAGAGGTATTTAAAATTGACTGGTACAATTTTGAAGTTCAAAATATAATTGGTTCTTTGTAAATAGATATAAGCACGGAAAAATCCACGTTTATGTTTGAGTTGTATAACAGAAAATCATATATCCTGTAAGTAGTTAAGTGTATTAGAAAATATCTGTCATAAGAAATGCAGCAATATATTTTATTATGCATTTTATCTTTAAAAAAAACTAGCTTGTAGGTTTTTTTTGTTGTTAAAACGTATTGCCTGGTTAATTCTACTTATCAAACATAACTTCAGTATAAAACAGTAGTTAATTGTTTTGATCAATATAAGCCCCAGTTACTATGCCTTTAGGTAACTGTGGTCACAGTTTAGAACACTGCTTACCAGTGCCAAAACGGTGCCGCTGGTGACCACTGTTCCTGCACTAAAGACACACATTGTCCTGGGCCATGAGATTTTTCAGACTAGTTGGATACTAGGATTTCTGAAGTTGCTCAGGTCATTTGCCATCCTCCATTGAGTGAGAAGCCTTTGTTTTAATATTAGTCAAGTAAATGGTTCATAACCAAGAATACTACCATTGGACCTTTACTTCAGTATTTTTTGCTTTTTATTAGCAGTAAGATTTTTGTTTACTTATTTGATATAAGCAGAACAAAGCAGAAATGTGGCATGAAGAAAATAAACAGTAGGAAGTAGTAAGAATAAGGGAAACAGAAAATTGGTAGCTTTTACTTTAAGCATGATGTAAGATTGAAAAGGTTAAAGGTTGAAAGAAAGGGGACAAAGATAAAAATAGAGGGGCTGAATCAATTTGGGTTACAATACCTGGAAATAGCACAAGGAAAGTCCCTGTATAGCTATCTTAAATAAACAAATGTCTTTTTTTAAAAATGGAGAACAGGGAGGTAAAACAGGTCCTGTCTGGGGGTTGGCCCCAGTGGGAGGGGAGGAATATAAGGAAAGGGTGTAGGAGGGTGAATATGGTAGAAATACTATGGACTCATGAAAAATACTATGAAAATGAAAAAATGAGACATGTTGAAATTTTTTGGGGAATGGAGGGTGGGGAGTGGTAAAAGAGAACGATGGAGGGGGTGAATTTAACTATGGTATGTTGTAAGAACTTAAGTAAATATCACAATGCCTTCAGTACAACAATAAAAAATAAGTAAATATCTTAATGATATCTACCATTTCTCTGTGAAAAAAAATTAAGGCTGAAGGAAATACATTGTTTTCTTGCCTTTAATATTTTACCTGTTGAAGTGTAGGAATGGTAGCATTGAAGACAAGCTAAACTTCTAAGTAGTTTTTTCAAAGGAAAGTTCAGCAGATGGCTTCTCAAGCAGGATTAATTTCTTTTGAAGAAAATGTGAAAAAAAGTGTTTGTTTTTTTTTCTTGCAATTCTGAGGTTTTTGAACTCAGGACTTCGATAAGCAGGCTCTTTACCCCATGCCTCCAGCTACTGTTGCTTTAGTTATTTTCGTAGGGTCTCATATTTTTTGCGCATGTCAGCCTGGGCTGAGATCCTCCTACTTATGTCTCCAGCTTAGCTGGGATGACAGATATGCACCACCAGGCCCAGCTTTTTTGATGAGATGGGGTCTTTGCCAACTTCGTGCCCTGACTGACCTTGAACTGCAATCCTGGTTGTCTCCACCTTTCAAGTAGCTAGTACTATAGGCATGAGCCAATGTGACCACCGTCCCCCTCACATTTTTTTAAAGAGAAAAAAAGTACTAAAAAACTATAGTAAATTTATTAAAGAATATTTCCAGTGCTTTTTTTTCCCTATTAACTGTTAAGGTGTTTTCTGGTTTGTTGTTATTCTCTAGGCACCAAAATGGTACCAGTTGCTGAGTAATAAATACACCAAGTTCAAGTCTGAGATACAGATAAGCATCACTTTGGAAACAGATACAAAGGCACCAGTGGATAGTTTTAAAGCCAAGGGTGCCCCTCCTCGTGATGGAAAAGGTTTGTGCTGTCATCTCTAAAAAAGTTCTCTGAAAAATTTATCTGTATACTAGAACTTTATATGCAGAGTGTCACAGAGAGATAATGTGCAAGAGGGGAAGCTGACTTTAATGTATCAAACAAATACTGTGGCATTGTAACACATGCAACATTTGTTTGCTCTTGTTTTCAAATCTTAAACATAGGGAAAGCTTTTCTTTTCCTTATTGAGTATACAATAGAGCAAAGAATTTTGTGTTTTAAAAAATTGCTACTTAGGAAAATTTTCTTCCTAGGGTGAGTACAGGAAAACCCTAACGTGGATATGGTGTTTATTAATTCTACTGTAGTTTAATAAAACCTTCATAATTCTTTCTTTCCTGTTAATGAATGAATGAACTTTATTTATTTATTTTTTTAGAGCATTTTTACCTTCACAGCACAAGTGGAGAGTACACAGATTTCCTGTATGTCACCTGTTCCACACAGGCACAACCTCATCCACTGTCAACCTGACATCCACAAAATGTTGTTTCAGTTGACGGAACTTCATTGACACATCATTATCGCCACAAGTCCATAGTTTCCATTGAAGTTCACTCTTGTAGATTTGTTTGGTTTTCAGAAATTTATCCCCCATTGTAGTATACAGAGCAGTTTCACTGCCCTAAAAATCTTTGGTGCTTTGCTCCACCCCACCCACCACAACTCTACATTAGTTTGGGTTGTGTCCTCCAGAATTCCTGTGTTGGAAACAATCTCCAAAGTCCTACATTGATGGTATTTGGAGTTGAGGCCTTTGGGAGGTGATTGGGTCTCAGGGCTCTGCTCTGCTTTCATGAATGGAGTGAATACTGATCATGGATTAATGATTTCAAGTGTTTTCAAGGGAGCAGGTCAGTTATCTTGACAGTGGGTCTACTTTCAAAGCCACTTTTGCTGTTTCTCATGAACTCTCTTGCCATTTGATGCCCTATGTCATCTTAGGACTCAGAATAGAGTTCTCAGTCCTTATTAAGAGGGTCCTTACCAAACACAGGCCCTCAACCTTTGACTTCCCAGCCACCAAAAGTATAAGAAACAAGTTTTATGATTTACTTAGTCTCAAGTATTCTGTTACAGCAACAGAAGATCAGCAACTACTGATCTTTTTTTTACTGTCTACATAGTTTTGCTCCCAGAATATCTTACAGTGGGACTATACAGTTTGTATCCTTTTTAGAGTAGCTTCTTTCATTTAGTAATAGGTGCATGCCAGTTTCCTCCATGTCTTTGGTTGGCTTGATAGCTCATTTCTTTTTAGTGTTGAATGGTTCCATTGTCTGGATGTACCACAGTTTATCCTTTCAACTACTAAAGGTTATCTTAGTTGCCTCCAGCTTTTGGCAGTTATGAATAAAGCTGCTATCAACATCTGTGTGCATGTTTTTGTGTGGATGTAAGTTTTCAGTTAATTTGGTCAAATACCGAGGTCTGTAGTTGTTGGATTGTGTGATAAGAGTATGTTTAATTTTATAAGAAATCTGCAGATCATCTTCCCAAGTGGCTGTACCATTTTTCATTCTCATCAGTAATGACTGAGAGTTCCTGTTGCACCATAATCTCACAGCATTTGGTATTGTCAGTGTTGGATTTTGGCCATTGTAATAGGTGTGTAGTGGTGTCTAATTGTTCTGATTTGCAGTTCTTCAGTGACACATGATACTGAGCATGTTTACATACGCTTAACTGCTGTGTGTGTTCTGTGATGAGGCATCTATTCATGTCTTTGGTTCTTATGAGTTATTTATGTATTTCAGATAACAGTCTTATATGTATGTCTTACAAATGTTTTCCCATTCTGTGGCTTGCTGTCTCTTGATACTGGGTTTCATTAATTTTAATGAAGTGTAGCTTATCAAGTATTTCATGAATTGTACCTTTATTAGTATATCTAAAGTTGTTGCCACCTCCAGGGTCATAGAGGTTTCTCTTAATGTTGCCTTACAGGATTTTATTTTAGGTCTGTTATCTATTTTGTGTTCATTTTTCTTGTAAAGGATGTATGATCTATGCCTAGATTCACTTTTTTTTAACGTGTAGATACAAGCCCCATTTGTTTAAATGACTGTCTTGTTTGCATTGCATTGCGTTTTCTCCTTTGTCAAAAGTCAGTTGACCTTACGTGCATGTATTTCTGTCTCTTCTGTTCCATTGATGTATTTTTCTATACCTTGATCAATTCCACATTGTCTTGATTGCTATAGCTTCATTAAGAAGATTTGAAGTTAGATAGAGTTAGTCCTTTGTTCTTCAGTGTTGAACTGACTGTTCTGGGTCTTTTGCCTCACTATGTAAACTTTAGAATCAGTTTTGTCAGAATCCACAAAATTATTTGCTAGAATTTTGGTTAAGATTGCATTTAATATATAAATCAAGTTAGGAAGAGCTGACATCTTGACAATATTGAATCTTCCTATCCTTCAAATGGAGAATGTGTACTGTCTCCATTTATTTCTTTGATTTTGCTTTTTTGCAGTACTGGGTTTAAACTCAGGTCTTTGTGCTTCTAGGTAGGCACTCTACCAGTTGGGTTAGTCCCCAAGTCCAGTTCTTTGACTTCTTTTATCAAGTTTCCTGTTTCAACCCTGAGTTTTGAAGGGGACATCCTCAACACACACACACGCACACACATATGTGTTTAAAGATATTTATGTGTATCTAGATATATATATTTGTGTATATGTCTCTTTAAATATGTATTTGCACATATATATCAAACAGCATGAATTCACATTGACACTTTCAATTCCTTTTCTACATAAGATTTATCCCTCATTTTTACTCTCTCCATACTTGTTTTTTTATTCCCTGACAGCAAGAAGCTTGTCATAGTTGTTATTGTAACTTCTAAACTCTGTTAGCCTATGTAATGGCACCTTTATTAAAGTGCTTAATGTGTCAGATACTGTACCGAGTACTTTGTTTTCTATATTTAATTTGATCTTCTTTACAACCACATTCAAGTTCTGCAAGAGAAAAAATACATATATACTATATAATAGTAAAGACAACTGGGATTGGAACTTTGGTCTCTGTGACTTAAATATCTGTGCTGTTAACCATTATGCTGTTTTCAGCCATTGCAACAATAAGCACATCTCTTTAGGGTTAACTTATAGAAAGGCATTGATTGTTTATATAGCCATACAGGATATGACTATATAAAATTTTGATAAGCAATGATACATTAGTATAGTAGGTTGTACTAATGTATACTGATTTAGAATGCCCACTTTCCTGTATTCCCCCAACACTGCCTATGCGTGTTTGAATCCTTCCAAAAAAATCAATTAGAAAACCTCGTCCTGTCTAGTCTTTTTATATTGATATGTATTTGATTTTATTGATCTTTTCTCAAATTATTTCACAGTTTTCCCTTATTCTTAAAAAACTATCCAAATGTTTTAGCATAGTATTCAGGAAGGCCCTTTATGGGAAAACTTCTGCTTCTCTCTCCAACTATACCTCTTTCTGTACATCAGTCCTCACCCTAATTTGGCATACCACACCTAGTTTGGTTCTTTTACACATGCATTCTCTTGTTTCTGTGTCTTTGTTCATACAGTTCCTGTATTTCTTTTTACTACCCTGTTTTCTCTTCAGTTACCTTTCTTAGATCTAGCTTTTATTTAACCTGCTTAGCTCTCTTGCTTTGCTTCACTAGGAAACCTATGTTAGATGCCTTTTCTGTGGTTTATTAAATTGATTTTCTTTTTTTTTTTTTGTAGTACTATGGATTGAACTCGGGACCTTGAGCTTGCTAGGCAAGCACTCTACCACTTGAGCTATGCCCCTAGGTTTAAATTGAAGTTTTTAAAGTGTTATTTCAGAGTATGGATTTTTATGTACAGAAAAATAAGGTTAAATAAAGTTTCTTTGGAGAGTATATAAGAAATTAAATGAAAAATTTTTGAGATACTGTGTCCATGAAAATTGTCAAGCAAATCAAAAAATATAATTAGTTTTAATGGTCTAGGCATGATGGTACAAACCTGTAATTCCAACACTTGGGCAGCTGAGGCAGCAAGATTGTGCATTCCAGGCCAGCCTGGGCTACATAGCAAGACCCTATCTCAAACAAAACCAAAACAAAACAAAAAAAAGTATATATATATAAATCAATCTTACAGTGGTTTATAGTAAATTGCAATCTAATTGTGTTTTTCTCTGTAAAGTACCTACCAGCCTATCTGGACTTGACCCAAAGGACATTGTAGCAGTGCTCAATGAGGAGGGAGGCTACCATCAGATTGGACCAGCAGAGTATTGTACTGACTCTTTTGTTCTGTCAGTGACTATAGCATTTGCCACCCAGTTGGAGCAGGTAAGAATTCTCTGAGATTAGTGAGCAACATGACTATTGACCATTAGTATATTTTCTTCTATTCTCTTTACCTCAAGTCTCATTGGGGTTTTGTCACAGCTGAGGAATGTGAATTTTGGGGAATACACCACTTTTATTGTAAGTAGTAAGCAGCAGTCTTGGTCTTTGTCCAGGAAGACACCTTACCTTATTTCTTAAGGTTATTAGCTATACAAACAGCCCTTGGAAGTGGCCTGACTATAAGAGTGGTCAGGGACCTTGGCACACCCAGCAAGAGTGTGCCCTGATTGATCGTGGTAGATTGCCTCTTGTCGACAGTGGCTCAACACAAAATCAGTTGTTACTCTACTGTCCTTTTCAGGATCCAGTCTGCTTTTCTTGACTTTATGTTGGTGTATAGCAGCTGTAATAAACTAACATTTTTAAAAATAGAGAATATGGCTTATAATTAAAATTTTTATTAAACTGTACTTTCTTAGAGGTACAGAAATGCCCAGTCCCCATTCAAAAGTGAAATATACAAATTGTGACCACATTTTATTTTACATTCATAATTTATCAGTAAAGATTCTTTGGATGTTTACTCTTTCTCCCCTGATGTACTGTAATTTCCTCATTGACACATGTACTTTTGTCTTTCCCCCTCAATTTCCTTGTTTTTCTTCATGAAGCTGTGCTTATGGATTGCTACCCTGTGTAGGTGCTTCTCCCTATATGTGTATATCCACATGACTAAAATCTGCTCTATCAAACATAAATACAATTTATAGGATTAAAATAATTTAAGTATGTTGAGTATTATGTCTCCATTGCTGTACTATTTTAATCTAAGTAGTTAGTGCTTTTATTTTTACAACTATCCAAACTAGACTGACTTTTTTTTAACCTAACAGTGTGTCTTAGGTAACTTTCATGTCAGTCTACCATTAGTAGCAGTCATACTGTATGGTAACTAACTATATTTTAAGACATTTCCTATTGGTGGATACATGAAATAGTAATAGCTTGTTGTTTAACAATCTTCTAGTGAACATTTAGGGTCTGTTAGAAGATATTTCATACTTTATAGCACAGAAATCCATGTTTTAGTCATATGTGACCACGAAAACTGACAACTGAGAAGTGGCACTCCTACTACAAAAGTCATGTTTTACAGCTTTTAATTCATAGGTCTGTAAGATTTTTTAAAAATCGACTTTAGGCATACACTAAGATGTTATATATTAAACAGTCTGGATTAAGATTTTTTTTTAACCTTTTCTCACCTTTTCTACCTCTGTTGGTAGAATAAGGAGATGAAGTAAAGTATGCAAAAATAAGAAAAGCTTAGCTTAAAATATTTGACCCTTCCAAAACATTATTCACGCATTCATTCATATTGAATGAAATGAAAACTTTAAGACAACTAAAATTTATTAAGACTTTTAGTACCTTTGTGCTTTTCTAAGATAACACTTTAAAAAATTAAGCTAGTATTTTGGTAGTAATCTGGCAAAGATTTAGAAATTTTGAGTGGTTCATTTAAGACTTAAAATTTTTTAAAAAAATAAGCATTTTTAGGAAATATGATTGGAGTGTAGCAGATTACATGTTCAGTGGTTTAGAAAGTAATATTCTTATTTTTCTTTAAATATTTAGCTAATTCCATGTAACATGAAACTTCCAGAAAGACAGCCTGAGTTTTTCTTCTACTATTCTTTACTGGGAAATGATGTTACAAATGAACCCTTCAGTGATTTGATCAACCCAAACTTTGAACCAGAGAGAGCATCTGTTCGCATACGTAGCAGTGTAGAAATTCTTCGTGTTTACCTGGCTCTTCAGTCTAAACTACAAGTAAGTACTATAGCAAATTGTTTTTGTTGAAGATGGTTTTGAAGCTGTCAGTTGAATACTAAAGTAGAGTTAGCTGTAAACTCTATCCTATTTCAGTAGTGGAGATCTTTCTGCCATGTCTTATTTTTTTAGGTATTATGTAAGTCACAAAGTCACTTCAGAATTTTTCAGGAGATAACCTTCACTATTCAGTTATTGAGAAAAAAAGATGTATCAGTTATTAGTACTTTATCGTAAGTTGTACCTACAGCCTAGAGCTATGACTACAGACAAGGGTTTTGTATTGTTAGTGGAGATGGTAACTATGGTCACAAAGATTATACTTTAAATTTTAGAATTTACCTTATTGCTGTTAAAATCAGAGATAATGACAGCTTTCTAAAACCTGCCCCTGAGTTGAGTATTTATTTGTAAACACTTTTTAAATTGGATTCTAATGAAAAGATATTCTTTTATCTTATGATAGTGCTTTTAATCAAACCTAATTGGGGTGGTAAAATACAGGGTTGGAAACCATCTGTTTAGAGTAAAATAATCTCAGTCATCAGACTGCATTTGGGGTAGGAGGTAAGAAGAGACATTAAGAAATTTTAGTAGCACTAGACTTTTTTTTTTTTTTCATTTTTCTTTTATTATTCATATGTGCATACAAGGATTGGTTCATTTCTCCCCACTGCCCCCACCCCCTCCCTTACCACCCACTCCGCCCCCTCCCTCCCTCCCCCCCCCCCGCCTCAATACCCAGCAGAAACTATTTTGCCCTTATTTCTAATTTTGTTGTAGAGAGAGTATAAGCAATAATAGGAAGGAACAAGGGTTTTTGCTAAAACCCTTGAGATAAGGATAGCTATACAGGGCATTGACTCACATTGATTTCCTGTGCGTGGGTGTTACCTTCTAGGTTAATTCTTTTTGATCTAACCTTTTCTCTAGTACCTGTTCCCCTTTTCTATTGGCCTCAGTTGCTTTAAGGTATCTGCTTTAGTTTCTCTGCGTTAAGGGCAACAAATGCTAGCTAGTTTTTTAGGTGTCTTACCTATCCTCATCCCTCCCTTGTGTGCTCTCACTTTTATCATGAGTAGCACTAGACTTTAAAGCTGGTTCTGCTAAACCCAAGATATTTAGAAAACTGAAGACTGTAAAATACGGAAATGCAGGAAAAAGCACTTAAAATTTTACTGTATATCTTATGTATCCTTATGCAAAGTATTGACTTATTTGCTTCTAGTGGAGAACATTTAAGTAATAAAAACACTTTGTCTCTAGCCTATGAAAATATTCTACCTAATAACATTAAGTATAAGTTACAAGGTGGGCATGTAGCATGTGCCTCTAAGTTCAACACTTGGGAGGCAGACTAATGTTAGGTCTCTCTTAGCCCTGTCACTGCTGATAGTAGAGGAAAAGCATTTTAACATGGTGCTTGCTCATTGTTCAGTATGCTGTTTTCTAAGGTCAAATGCAGTAAGGATAAAGAAGTTGTGTACCATGTACCTGTCTTTTTTTTTTTTTTTTCCCCATAGATTTCAAAAGGTAGTAATGTTGAACTTTTGCTTAGATTAACAATACTTTCCATCCCAGAGGTATTCTTTTACCTTTTACCATTCAGCCTTCTGTTTTATGTACACAGCGAAGAACAAGAAAAAGGAAAACAAGTCAAGGTGTTTTATGGGTGAATAAAACAAAAGTTTTTGAGGTTTTTTAAATTCCAAATCGGACTGATACACTGTTTAAGTTAATATTCAAATGGAAATAGAAAAATATTCTTGAGATATTTTTCTATTTAAATTCACACACATTTTTATTATACAATTTGCATATGATGAAATATTAAAGTAGCCAAAGAGAAAGAAAAATGGTAACATTTAAGTTACCTTACTCAATAAAGAAATGAAAATAAAAAAAAAACCTGACAACTGTTATTTAGGCACTAGTAAACTGTGTTTTATCACCAGTTTTAATAGTCCTATGTGAGAATTCTTTATGTCATGCATGTCAGGGAGTTAGCCTGCATTTTATTTTCCTTGTAGGAATTATTTTATGACTTTCATTAAATTTATGGTATTTAGGAAAGAGGAGAAAATGTAAAGCTTTTTTAAATTTTTTCCCTTTCACATTAGATCCATCTCTGCTGTGGAGACCAGTCACTTGGAAGTACAGAAATACCTTTAAATGGATTACTGAAAAAGGGCAGCACAGAAATTAACCAGCACCCTGTCACAGTTGAGGTGCTTTTACCCTTGACCCTCCAAACAGAGCCAAGCAAAAGCTCGCCCCTATTCCTCTGGAGCTTGCCCCAACTGTGGGAGTGTCTGTTTCTCTGCAGAGAGAAGGCATTGATTCTCAGGTAAGTAGTGACTCTGCTAACCATTTACACAGGTTCTCCAGTGCCACTCATGATTCTAAAAGTTGAACCTAGAAGAGTTTTGAGTGTTTTTATTTTTCATAATTAGTGGATTACATTATATGATCACCTTTCTGAATAAACCTTTTAGAAAAGTGCAGTAACTTCTGCTTTACAGTTTGTAAGTAGCTATACTCAGAACCTTCCTAGCCCTCAGGACAGTCTTCTGGTTAGTGGAAACCATTTCTCCCCACCCCCCCAATTCATGGCCATTTACTATAGCAGAAAGGAAATGCTAATAAAAGAACATTTTTAGACCTTATTTTTGGCAATTTTCAGTAGTGATATCTGTTTGGTTGACACAACTTGAGCTGAAATTGGTGGCACTGGGGTTTGAACTCAGGGCCTTGTGCTTGCCAGTCAAGAGCTCTACCACTTGAGCCATATCTCCAGCACATTCTTGGTTTATTAGTACCAAATAAACCACTGTAGAACCACTTTAATATCTTCTGAAAAATTGTTCTATATGTAGATTGTGGATTGAAGATAGGATGATGTGAGAATTTTAATTTATACACACACACACACACACATACACATACACACACACATATATATTTAGAGGGTAGTGGAGCGAAGGAGAGAGAGGAAATGTTTTTTCTGTGTAGGGGATAGCCCTCTACTGCACTACCTTGGTAGTAATAACTCTTCCCAGGGTCACCTGTGCCTGACTTCTTTTCTCAAATATCCCTTCTTACCCATTAGGATGCATTTTGGTACTCCGCTCTGGATACATTTCCTTCCTGTTCATCTTGCTATTTCTGGTCCTAGATGCTATAAGGAAATTTGCAAATTATGAAGAAAAATAGACTAGGAATATCCAAACTGGGAAAGGAAACTTGTACTTTAAAAAAAAAAAAAAAAACCAACGCCAAGTCTTTTGCTTAATTATGAAGGAAAGTATTTCGCAAATTATACTTTATTTAAAAATTGTTTTTAGTCTTTAATTGAATTAAAGACCCAGAATGGACATGAGCCTGAGCATTCAAAGAAGAGAGTTTTAACCCCCATTAAGGAGAAGACACTTACTGGACCAAAATCATCAAGCACGTCCCCTGTTCCGCCTCACAACCAGACACCTCCAACCAAAGATGACGCAACAGAAAGTGAAGTGGAAAGCCTACAGTATGATAAGGATACAAAACAAAATCTAAAGGGTAAGATGTTCTTTTCACACGTCTTTTAGGTATTGGATTTTGCAGCCGTCTAATTTACAGCTGGCTGTGAGAACTTTTGTGGTTTTAAGATTGTAGAGTTTTTAAGAACCAAGAATGTGTGATGATCTAAAAAATTTCAATTTAAAGTAATTGTGATCCATTTAACTTCATAATAATGTACTAAATTAAGGTAAGAGAATGTTTCATTTTACTTGTAAATTGGAAATAGTTTATTCAAAAGAAATCAAGAATATAGTTCTTGTAACTAAATTACTTTTTTGGTGGTACTTGTTTTGGCTTCACGCTTGCTAGGCAGGTACTCCACAGCTTGAACAGGTCTCTGCCTTTTTGCTCTGGTCATTTTGGAGATAGGTCTCACTGTTTGCCCAGGCCAGCCTGGACCACGATCCTCCTATTTTACACTTCCTGCCATCGGTGGGATAACAGGCAGGTGCCATTGCACCCAGCTTTTTTCCATCGACATGGGGGTTTTGTGAAATATTTTTTGCCCAAGCTGTCTTGGAACTGTGAACCTCCCAATCTTAGCCTTTCTTGTAGTTTGGGATGACAGGAGTGCATCATTGTACCCAGCTATTACTTGAGATGAGGGATCTTATGAAGTTCTTGCCTGAACTGGCCTCAAATCATGATCCTCTAGATCTCAACTTCTTAAGTAACTAGAATTATAGTTGTGAACTACTGGTACCTAGGTTTTTAAACTAGTAAATTCCACTAGCAAACCTAGTAAATTCTTGAATAAAAATTTTTGACCTTAAAGAATCTGAGAATACATGTATCTGGTTTTATAAAACTTTACCATCCATTACACAAGGGTCTGTACTTGCAACTACTAGTATAAGTAAGCAGTGGTGGAGTTAAAAGTCTGGGTGCAAGGTTTAACTTCTTTACTGAATAGCTGTACAACTTAGGCCACTCATTAACCATAGCTGCTTTATATTTAGGTTAGACTAGATATCTGTCTTTCCAAGTTTTATCTTTTGGGGATGATTTCATATATGCTTAAAATAACCACAACTACTTTGTAAAAAGTCACGTAATTATATCTGCAGTAAATTTTAAGTGCACACTTCATATACTCAGTTATGCTCAGGTACCTCTTAGAAATAAACTAATGCCTGCCAGGCTATATAGTCAGGCATAACTGCATCTGTTCTACTTGTTTTTATGCTGTGTAATATATGGTGAAACTCTTTATTTCATTTTTTTTTTCTTTTGGTCTCACTATGTATCTTAAGGCTGACCTCAAACTTGTAATCTTCTGCCTTGGCCTCCTGAGTTCTGGGATTACAAGACATGCCTGTCTTTAAGCTCTTTTTACAATTTTAAAAAGGAATTAAAGTATAGGTAATTTAGGGCAAGCCACATTTAAGATGCTTATGCTTCAGTTCATATGTTCATAAAACAGAATAGTTAAATTCCTTGCTTGAATATAAGTGAGATGCCAGCTTTAAATTATCTGAACAACTGATTTTCTTTTTTTAAATTTTATGTTTATTTTAGGCATTAGTTCCTCTGTACCTGCTTCACTGGCTCAGGCAGTGATTGCATCCCATGCTTCAGAAACAACTTCAGGACAGAAGATTGCTGTTCCATCAACAGCACATCATTTTTGCTTTTCCATAGACTTAAGGAGTGTTCATGGCTTGGAAATTGGTTATCCTGTCAACTGTGTATTAAGGTGTGACTTGACTCGATTTGATTTAGGAGAAATGCTTTTCTTCTGTTTGGGGAGTTGAAGAGAAAGATCACTAAAGAGTGATAACTTTTGTTAAATCAGTGGTCCCCAAAAGAGGATAAAACTATATCCCAATGACTTTGAGTTTAAACCAGTGTGGCATTGGTAATATGAGAAGTAAGAGTCTTACCTATTCTGGTATAATTGTAGGTGTTTTGTTATTATTTATTGATGCTGCTTTAAAATGCTCTTGAGCTTTAAAGAGTTTTGTTTTGTTTTCTAGAAAGAAAAACAAGTTGTAGTAGAGTATCTGCCTCTTTTTGAAAAACCAAATATTATAATAGAAGGTTGTATTCCTAATACTTATAACTTCAAATCTAAAAACTGTGCTTAATGAGTTGGAAGTAGAATATGTCTACTGTTCAATATAAAGAATTACTATGTATGTGTATAATCAGTTAAATGGCTTTACATAATAATTTGTTTTTAATAATGTTATAATTTCATAGACTTGTGACTTAGATATAAATTGAATGTCATACAATAATGTGTTTGGAGTATTTAGCTTTTTCTTATAAATTTCTTTGGAGTAACCATTAGTGTTTGAAATCAAGTTGTTGGTCATCCGTGATTAAAGTGAAAAAAATCTGTCATCTTGGAATGCTGGTCCTATGACTTTAAGCAAGTACACATTCCTGTTATTTGAGATCTACCTGCTTTCAGGTGCATAACTGTGATTTTTTAATATTTGATTTCTTCTCAAGTTGTTTCCAAATCCTCCATACTTTGTTAGGAATGATGTATCTAGCTATGATCATGATTGTGAATTCAAACAAGTCTTTCCAGCTCACCTTAAGTTTTGCAGTTGATATGTTAAATGCTAAGAGTCATTACTAAAATGTTTTTATTTGGAAATTGGAGAGTGAAAAAAGATTTTCTCTCATGGACATAGCTTTTCCCACAGGGTTTATTTTCTCCATTTTAGAAGTAGAATTACTACTAATTCTCCAGTTTTTTGTCTTTCTTGCCTTTCACTCTTTTAGCTAACTTCTCTCTTCTGCTGCTTCTGGAATCTGATCTTAATAAACCTAGAGAGAATGTTGACCAAGAGCATAGAAACAGATGCCATCTCAAGTTAGATACCAGGAGAGGGAGCCCCGAACAAAGCCCACTTAGAAAGCAGCCATATTAATTTTTATGTTTACTTCTTGCCATCAGGACCATTTGATTAATCATTAAGTGCCTACATTATGCCAGCAGTGTGCTGGTCTGAGAGGTACATGAACCACATAAATTTAATGAGGATGACAGATTGATAAATAAGTCAGTATATGAGGGAGAATAGTAATTCACTTGGCAAAGAAGGAAATGAACAGTTACTACCCATTTAACACTTGATGCTGGTTCAGTCTTTTGTTTTAGGCACTTTTAATGTTGGCCATTTAATTTTATTGTTCATTTGATAAATTTTATGTTACGCTCTGAATTGGTATGAAATTATAGTTTTCAACTGGGTAATGAAATTTGTGACATAAGACTGGTATTTGAAAAACCATTTAATCTTCGGATCTTTTTTCTTTTAGTACCTGGATCCTATAGTAGAGTGGTAGGGTTGAAATTGCAGGGCATGGTCTCTCTGAGATAGCTTGACTTCATTGGATATATAATGATATAGGACTTAGGTGAATACATGGGAACTTATTTTTTATTTTGTTTTATTTGATTTTATTTTATATACTAGAGATTGAACTCAGGGCCTCAGGCTTGTCAGGCAAGCATTTACCACTTGAGCCTCCAGTCCTTTTGCTTTTTTGGTAGTTAGATTGGGTCTCATGCTAACTTAACCCCAGCTGGCCTTTTATCTGTTTCCTGAGTCGCTGCCAATACAGACAGGCATGTGTCACCACACCTAGTTATATTTGGCTTTAAATACAGGGTAAGTTCAGCTATAGTCAGGCATTTTTCCATTTGATCTAGTATGGTTTTTAATGATGAAAGGAAGACATAATGTTATGTCACTCTGACTCATCAATTAATAAATTTGAGTTGTTTTTATCCTGATTCTGTTCAAAGACAGATTACTATGAATATATTCTTTTGGCATTGTTAAAGAGTTTTCAGTCCATAAGCTATTAGGACATTATTGCCTGAAAGGAAAGAAGGTTTAGAAATTAAATTTAGCAAGCATTTCTTAGTTGTGTAGTATGTGGCAGAAACTGCTTGTTTGTTCTGGGAACGCAAAGATGAAAAAGGATATTCACCCTCAAGGAACTCTAAATGACAGTTTAGTATTCCTATAAGTTTCAATTTAAAAGATTCTGTTTATGATAGTTTTATTAGGCTTTTAAAAAATCCAGACTGTAAATCTCATCCATAGACTATGCTTTAAGACTTTGTATTTCTTAAATTCTAGGTACTCATATCCATTCTTTGGAAGTGCAGCTCCTATTATGACTAATCCTCCTGTAGAAGTTCGGAAAAACATGGAAGTCTTTCTTCCTCAGTCTTACTGTGCATTTGATTTTGCAACTCTGCCTCATCAACTGCAAGATACATTCTTACGGTAATGTGTATATTGTATTTTCTTAAGTTAGTGCTTAAAAATTGAAAGGAATTTGTACAGGTTTAAATCCAAAGCTCTTTATGCATTTGAGAATGAAAAATCTGCCTCTATAGCAGAGTTCTGTATGACTTACTATATGCCCTTTTTTTCATTTTCATCTTACTAGCCTGAGTTTAAGTACTTGAACTTAAAAATAATCCGCTAGTAATGCAGGAGCTTTGACAAGTGGGCTTGCCTTTTTGTATTATAAGGAGATAAATAATACTATTTAGTTTTGATTATTGATTCACTGAGTACATATAGTATGTTACTTGTTGTGTTACCTTTTTATTTGTAAACTAGCAGTGTCAATCTAGTTGTCTGGGATAGATTTTTGAAGAAAAATGAGATCTGTGACATGTCTTTTACTTTCTCAGAGTATGAAAATCCAAATTTATATATTCTTAAAGAAAGAATGAAGAGTAGCCACATATTCTCTTAATTTTTTAATGGGAATAATAATGTTTAAATGGGTTTCTTTATTGCCTACAAAGAGGTATAGATAATGTACTAGTACTTTGTATTTCTTGCCTTCAAAATTGAGCTTTTAACAGTGTGTTAGATGACTTTCCAGGTAATAAAAGCATCTTTGATTACATAAGGATATTCAAAGAGTTTAGTTCAGAAAAGACTTTACTTGATAGGCATGAACACGTTTCTCTTTTCTTTAGTATTCCATTGCTGGTTGAATTGTGGCACAAGGATAAAATGAGTAAAGATTTACTCCTGGGAATTGCAAGAATCCAGCTTTCTAACATCTTGTCTTCAGAAAAAACTCGCTTTTTAGGCTCCAGTGGTGAACAGTGTTGGCGTCAAACTTACAGTGAAAGCGTACCTGTCATAGCAGCACAAGGGTAATGCATTACATAAAATTGGTTTTCACTTTGCCTTTGTTCTAGTACTGATTCTGGTGAACAGCTTTATCTTTTCATGTCCTCTTTTTGCTGACCATTTTCTTTGACTTGTGGGGTGTGTATTCCAGTTTGCATGTTAGCTTTCTGATATCCATTTTACTTCATAAAAGCAAAAGAATCTTTGCTCTTATAATATTGTAATTCTCATTCAGATTGCTAAGTGTTTTTCCTCTTTTCTCTTTAGCTGGACAGTTTTGGATTTTGTTGTTTTATTTTTTTGGAGACAGGGCCTCTCTATGTATAGCTCACACTGGGTTACACTCATGAGCCCCTGCCTCCTGAGTGCTGGGATTTCAGGCCACAATGCCCAACCAGCCTGACAGTTTTTAAATTCAGTATCTATTATTTTATTTTGTTATTTAAGGTTAAATTTATAATGTATTTTTACATTATTTTCATGTTGGGAATGCTGTGACTTTCTCTTCTTGAAAAAACTTTTAACTTTTGCCTCAAATCTAAAATCTGAGAATGTTACATTTATCAGTATTCAGAAGCAGTTTGTAAAATAAATTACTGAGTGCTGGGAAAGTACCTCACTTGTAAAGCACATGCCTAGTATGCACAAAGCCCCATCCCTAGAATCACAAAATAGTGTGGGTTTTGGGTCTTTTTTCTTTTTTTTTTTCCCTTAACTTCATTGCTGCCCTGAAAATCTAAAACTTGAGTTTTTATATTTTAACCAACATATTTGTTGAATTATCCTTTTTAAATTTAACAATAAAAATTTTAATTCAATTTTACATCTATACCATTTACCTTTGTTTAAAAAACCTAATGAGAATATAGAAAGAACTAAGACTCAGCAAAAATCTGAGCTCTACAATTGTTTTATTGAAATTTCTTCTCTTTTCTCCATCCATAACCATGTACAGAGACTGAAAGATTTAGTAAAACCTTTATTCGCTTGGTAGATATGGGAACTGTTGTCCTGAAAAATCTGATGTTTGTTAATTGAAAATTCTTTTTCTCTATTCTGTTACTGAAAAGTTTATTAAAAATTAGCATTCTTTTCTGATGACAAGTAGAATATAATTAATCATTAATAGTCCAAGCTATTTTAGTGCTGTCTGTTCTGAATATCATTTTTATTGCTCTACTTTGCCTACAGCAAAGTTTTAGGAGACTTACCTAAGATGTGCTCAGGAAATTCTCTACCATATAGTAATGCTTTGTTTTACTTTATTCATTTCTTTTATAACTTTGTGAGATTAGGAGAAGAAAATGTGAAGTTGGTTGATTAATTAAAAGTTCAAATTGTCTGAGATGCATTTATTAAAGCTTTGTTTAACTAGAATATATTTGATTCATACAAAATCATGTTTTTGGGCTACTAAGATTTTATTTTCCTCTAATGTTTTGTCTGTTTTTATTATCTATTGGTAAAGCTACATGTAGTTCTGGGGAATAGAGAAGTACTCATTATGGCCAAAATAATATATAATTATCCTGCTTTTAGGAATTATCCTGGGGCAGGACATATGTCCAGTAAAAGATTTACACATGAGTTTGTTCATCCCAGGAAAAGCAGGCAAAAGAGTTCAGAATAACTTACATAAACTGTTATGTATATCTTACTGCATACATCCATTAGTAGAGTTTAGAGGCAGGAAACAAACCCCATTTTGGGGTTGAGGATATAGCTCATTGGTGGAGCATTTGCCTAGCATGTCCAAGGCCCTGGGTTTTATTCATAGCACTGCAGAAAACAAACAAGTCCCCACATTTTTAAATTAATGCTTATAACATAAGAAAATCCTTCTGATCTAAATAGGAAAAGGACAAAACTGTTAATGTGCATGCGTAGCTACATGTAAATGAAACAGAGAGAACAAACTGTTAGCAGCAGTTACCTGTGGGCAGGAAAGTTTTAAATCTCACTTTTTACTTTTAAGTTTTGAAAGTGTGCAGCTGTTCAGATCATTTTCTAATGAATTCAGGCAGGTACTTCAAAGGTACCTGTGATGATCAGTGAAAGCCCTGCATCTGGAAGTCTTGAAGCCTGCAAAGGCTGCTGCAGTTTCAGAGCAGGAGTGCAGGTTATGTGCTTACTCCTCAGCACCACTGTACTGGGAAAAGAAAAGGCAAAGTAATACAAAAGTGTTTCTATGAATTTTAACACACTTGCTATTTAATTTGTAGGTCAAGTAACAGGATTGTAGATCTGTCTTACACAGTGACTCTAGAAGATTATGGACTAGTAAAAATGCGTGAGATTTTTGTCTCTGATTCATCTCAGGTAAATGTAGTTGAGTGTTACCAAATTCCTTTAGAGGGATATAGTGTGCATGTGAGTGTGTTGAATGAAGTATGCTTTTTCATTCATGTCTTAGGGTGTACCTGCAGTACAACAGAAGCCATCTTCTCTTCCTCCAGCACCCTGTCCTTCAGAGATTCAGATGGAGCCTCGGGAAACCTTAGAGTACAAAGCAGCACTTGAGCTAGAAATGTGGAAGGAGATGCAAGAAGACATTTTTGAAAATCAGGTTATTTTTTAAGTTTTACTTAAAAAATCAATTTTTGTCTATCTAGTATATTTTTCCTTTTCCATAGCAAAAGTTTTCCCTCCATGTTCCTGTCTAGTTTCTTTGAATGTCAACAGTGCCTTACTTTTAAAGAAGAATTTTTTAAAAATAGGTGAAATGTGACAGTTTGGCAGACACCACTCAGAAGGATTTCCCTAAATTTCGTCCATTATTGTTGGGCAAAATTAAGAATGGTTATTCTTTTAATATGAGGTTTTTATTTGGTATATTCTTCTAGAACCTAGCACAATTAGTCCCCAAACAATCGAGTAAGAAAACAGAATTGACCATTTTAGCTTTTACTCTCCTGAGGTACACTGAGTTATATAATATGGATATTAATTTCCTTAAGCAACCTCCATTTTGAAAAAGCATAAAATAAAATGCCTTAAAAATTAGCGATCAGAATTAGTTTCTTAACTGAACACAGCTGATTCATTGGTGTGACATATTCAAAGTTTCTTTGGGTGATTTGACTTTTCTTTTGTAGCTGAAGCAGAAGGAATTGGCTCATATGCAGGTTCTTGCAGAGGAGTGGAAAAAAAGGGACCGAGAAAGAGAATCACTTGTAAAGAAAAAGGTAATAACTTGTGTAAAAATTGAGGGAGGGAAGAGCATTGGTGCTATTGATGATATCTTGTACCTGCATTGAAGAAAAGCTTTGAAAAGAATGATCTGATCATAGGTTTGTGTTGACATGGGTAAGATGAACGGTCAGGGCAGGAGGGGGTTTTCACTGTGAAGTGCTTTTTGGAGTTTGAAATATGCAAATGTATTTCTTACTCAAAATGTATTTAAAATGTGAATGCTATAGAGAAAATGTCTACCTCTTTATGAAAAAGAAAATAGCATATTTTAAGAATATACAGTAGTTACATCATCACCTATAAATTAGTAAAAAGATGTGACACCATCTAATCTTATTCCACAAAGCAAAAGTTTAATACTTACCTATTCATATTTAAAGTTAAAATTAAGCAACCCTAAGGAAGGAATGTAGCTCAGTGGTGCAGAGCTTCCTAGCATGTGCAAGGTCCTGTGTTTCATCCTCAGCAAAAAAGAAAAAAGAAGAAAAGAAAGAAAAAGCCAAAACCTTGACAATTACGCTTATTTTCAAATACTCGTATTTTAAGACTTTCCAAATACTGTCATGAGTAGTTAGCAGTCCTGTGCTGCCTATTGCCCAGTGTCTGGAATCACTCATTTCATGTATTTTGTTCCATTTGTTTATAGAGGAGGGCAGTTATCTTTATAGCTATAAACAGTCCTCCAGGTCTTTGACTTTTAAATTACCATTTCAACTTTGTTTAGCTTAATCCTTAACCATTAAAAACACAAATAAGTAGTGCACTTTTTCAAAAAGTTAAGAGAAAAAGACAAGATTACTTCAAAAATCTCCATTCTTAAGAAATGTTCATATAGTCAAAATTACAATAAATAGAAGTTTACATTTTCATACTTTATACTAGTTTTACTGTTACTTTAATGTGCGTTTTGGTACAGAACTCATGTATTCCATATTGAATTTAAGAGAGCTGGGCAATATTATAAAGTTTTGTAGTTTTCACTTAGCCTTTAAGACAAGGTAACTTTATCCTTGGATAACATATTTTCTATGTTATTAAGGTTCGCAGAGTTCAAATGATGAACCAATTCGAAAAGTTAATAAAATTAGTAGAACTGTGACAAATCCAGCTTGTGCCATAACTGGACATTTTCTTGCAAAAATAAAAAGTCAATTTCAGTGTAATGAAGCAAAAAAAATAATCTCACCAAGTAATTTTTGGTTTGTTATCATTTTGGTAACAATGATTTTTTTTTTCCCCAGTTGAAAATTTTAGATGTATCATCTTAAGAATGAAAGACAATCCCTTTGTTTTCTCCATTCTGTGGTTCAGATGATGAACTCTGGTAGACAAAGATAAGAGATTTGGGAAACGCTATCTTATTTTTTAAGTTGTTAAGTAGGGATTTATTTGAGAAACATAAGACAGGACAAAATGCCTTATAGGTCACTTTACACAATATGGGCAATAATAGCATAGAGCCAAGAAAGCGGATGGTGTAACTCTCAGTGCCAGGCTGAAAGCCTGAGGACCCTGGAGACCACGGGTGTAAGTCCTGGAATATGAATGTGAGTGTGGAGTTCTGATGTCTAAAGCAGCAGAAGAAAAGTCTGTCTCTATAGCTCTTGGAGAGGCAGGCCAGTTCATCTTCTGTATTTGGAGAAACAAAACAGAAGAAACAGAAAAGATTTTTATATAAGAATATAAGGCAATCATTTTAGAAGTTATTCTGATGGAACAAGAGTGGTTAAGATAGAAGAATGTGAAACTAAAGTCAGGGAGACCAGGAAAGCAATGGGTGTAAATGAAAATGAAGGCTGAAACAGTACCCATAGCATTATGGAACAGAGGATGCTAAGGAAATGATGTTAAGGAGGCTTACATCCTTACACCTTAAGAGATCCTCAGTGCTGCCCTACAGTCCTAGTGCTTTCCCTGGTTAGCGACCCTCAGAAAGCTAATTCACACAGCTTTTCTCTTACCAAGCAGTCCTCTCTTATCTTCATCTAGTTTGAGCTTTCTTTCTAAAACCTTCCTCTGTTTGGCTTTCTTAATTATGTTCTCCTAGTAGCCTATTGTCTTTACTGGTCTCTCATTCCTGATTTTCATACTAGGTCCAATCTCTAAATATTGGGCTTATTGGCTCTTTCTAGGAACCATTCAGATATTCATCCTTGAATATCTTTTCCTTCTGTGTACTTACTCCTTTGGTGATCTCATCCACTGTCTTGGCATTCCACACACACACATGAAATTACACACATACACCCCTATCTGCTTCAGTCGCCACCTTCTTCACCGGACTCTGTACTTGGCTATTTTATCTCCATCCTCTGTAAATTTGCTCCTTGAGTCCCCATCTTAATAAATGATACTGTTTTACTCAGTCATTTAGGCCACAAAACAATTCATCCTGATTCTCTTTCATTTCATACCCAGTTCATTAGCAAATCATGTTGTTAGCTTCATATTTAGGATGTATTCTGAAAACTAACCACTGTCTGTCACCTCCATCACTATTTCTCTAGTTTAGCCATCATGGTCCTGCGCCTAAAATTATTACTACTTCTTAACTTGGTATTTCTCCTTTGTTCCTGGCCCCTGTACTTTGTTATATCCATACTGGACCAAGAGTAGTGTTTTTAATGTATAAAATTATGTGTTCAAAATTCATCCATACTGCCCCTCATAGTTAGGATAAAAGTGAGAATTTTTAGCAGGGTATGGAAGTCTTACATGATCTGTGCCCTAGCCACTGCTTCACCCCATCTCTTGTCAGTCTGTTCCAGCCACACTGAACTCTTGGTAGTTCCTCAAACATGCTAAACCATCTCTGTCCTCAGGATCTACGAAACATCTTCCTCCAGAGATAGTTTTTGGTTTCTGTTCAGAATAATCTCAGTGAGGCCTTCTTTGACTACAGCCAAAATAGTGCCCCCTTCTCCTGTCCCCAGGCACTAACTGTCCCTTTACTCTGCTTTATTTTCTTCATAGTATTGACTAATAATATTAAATATGCACTTGCTTATGTGTAGTCCATCTATCCTTAGAATGTAGGTGCCACACAACTTTGTTTTGCCCAGTGTATGCTAAGTATACAGAAAATACTCTTTAAAGAGGGTGATTTCAGGTTTTTATACATTCTTGAGTTTGAGACATAATGAAGAGTATCAACATGTTCAGAGGTCTGCAGGCCTGGACCCCCAGAGGGAGGTTTGACTTTGTAATACTAATTCCATTCTTAGTGTATCTGATGGTAATAAGATGCGATCACCCAAGAGGTTATGTTGCACTAGAAGAAAAGGCATTCAGAACCCAAACTCTGATGAGAACACAAATATGTAGGTGTTTGTATTAGTGATTTGCTTAACCTATGTTTAGATGCACCAAAACTAGATGGTAGAGTTAACAGAACTAATGAGAAATAATCCTGATTGGTTGGTATGCTAGACCTAAAGCATCAAAATAAGGTGAAAAATTCTGTAGTTACATTAGGATAGTTGTCTAGACAATGAGCATATTTATGCCAGGTTTGAAAACGACTGTTTTTTACATTAACTAACACTGTGGCTAGGATCTTTAATTAGCAAAGGCAGTTTTAGACTTAAGTTACTATTCATGGATTTATCCTAGTTTTGGCAGTATAGTCTTGGTCTCTGAACTGGTGAGTTTACATATGGATATCATATTTTTTTAAAGACTTGGTTTTAAAAAAAAAAAAAAACCTAGACCCTAGATTAAATTCCATATTTTAAAGACTGTGGAATTGTAATATGTGACCAGTGGTTGAAATGTGTGTTTGTCTTGGAGAAGGAGGAAAAAAAAAGACTAGAAAGAGATACGATGACTGTCACCATCTCAGAGTAGTCTTCTGAGAGCATCAAACTAGGGATTTATTGCCAAGAGGAAAGAGAAGACTAACAGCCTAGGACCTACATACTAGTTGGTGATGAAGGCAGAAAAATTTGGAAAGTCCTAGTAAAAAAAAAAAAAAGATCAGTCCCAATTGAAAGATAGAAAACCAAGAGAGTCCTGCATCCTGTGCAGGCTGAGCAGGTAGGTTTCTTAAGCTGAACAGGACTCCTGTCTGAAAGAAGACATTCAGCATGAAGAAATTGGGGTTCTAGGCTAGGAGACCAAACAGGGACTCAGTTCCTGGAATGTAGTGAAAGGTAACATCTGAAACAGTGGTACAATTGATTTGTAACTATCTGCTCTAGCATCTGCTTAGTTACAGTATGAGAGTGTAAGTGACAGAAGGTCAGGGCTGGTGGAATGGCTCAAGCAGTAAGAGCACCTGCCTAGCAAGCCTGACCCCCTGAGTTCTAACTCTAGTGCTACACACACCACCACCACCCCCCACCAAAAAAAAAAAAAACAAAAAACCAGGTGGTTTCAGAGGGAGATTTGAACTTGTATGTTTTGTTTTGAATGTGGAGAGAAGGTAACTTTTATTATATTTTAGGTGGCTGAATATAGTATTCTAGAAGGAAAACTTCAAAAAACTCTACTTGAGTTAGAGAAGCGAGAGCAGCAGCTTGCCTGTGCAGAATCAGAGGTATTCAATTCACTATTCACTGATCCTATCTCTATTTCACAAAGGGTCTATAACATTCATATCATTAATTTTGCTGTGTGTGTAATAAAACATTTCAAGGCAGTGTTCTCAGACGTTGGAGAAAGCTTCTGTCCGCTAGATAAAGTGTGCTTCGTACGTTAGCAGGCTGTGCACCGGTACAAGTGTTTGTTGTTTGAAGTAGCTGACCATCATTTGGCCAGCTTGGCTAACTTCTATAATTTTGAAGGTTTGGGGTTCACTCTCCCATTATGTGGAAGGAATGGATATTTGCACTGACTGTAAAGAGCATATGTAGCTCTTCTTTACATATGTAGACTCAGAGGCATTTAATCCTCATTTTGCTTTCAGAGCAAAGAAATTTCCCTCTCACCTATAAAGAGTCAGATCCTGAGCCCCATGTAGTGATATATGCCTATAATCTTGGTGTCTGGGAGGCCAAGGCAGGAGGTTCATGAAATCAAGGCCAGTTGTGGCTACATAACAAGATTTCATCTAAAAATAAAAACGTAGCTACCAAGAGGATATAAGAATATGAGTTAATTTTATGCATAATTAGCATTTTATTAGGTTTAATTAAATTTTACCCTAATATTTTCTATAAATATTTTAAAATAAGTACATTTGTTTTCAGTTAAATTTATATCTTCCTTCTCCAGTGATGTTTCTTAAAATTTTCTCAGCAAATCACCCTGATCCATCTTATCATTATACAGTTTCTGGAGATTCTAAATGAGTTAAGTGTTTAAACTTAAAATATATCTTCTAAACACTTAGGTAGAGAATCAGAACTTTCTAATAGAAGGGAAGAGGTTCAGGTACATTTACTTACATAATAAAAAAGGACTTTATTCAAATGGGAATTTTAAGTGGTTAGGCCCTTTTCAACTGAGCTTATACAGCTTTGTGGATCTTTGTATATACTTGTATGTTCCTATTAAATGATGATTGTTTAATCGTGTGTTTAAACATTAGCTTTCTAATAACTAAAAAGGATATGAAAAATTAGAAGCATTTTGAACATTTCACTGAGCATAAGGATAATAGACTATTTTACAGTATGATGCAGATGCTTTTGTTTTAAGCTTCAAAGAGAGAAAAAGGAGCTGCAGTCAGAACGGGAACGGAACCTGCAAGAACTTCAGGACTCCATCCGCAGGGCCAAAGAGGACTGTGTTCACCAAGTAGAGCTGGAAAGACTAAAGATGAGGCAGCTAGAAGACGATAAACACCGGCTTCAGCAGCAGGTGGTCATTTTTGTGCATATAGTGTTTGCATTCTAGAAATGCTTCTCCAAAAAAGTGAGAAACTTCACTGTAATTTGCACTATTAATTATATTAATTGCACTGGATTCAGATTTACTGTAAGTTAAAGCTAAGAGCTATATTTTAATAATTTTCCTGCCCTTGTAACTGCATGAAACTGTATTTCCAGTGACTTACAATATAAAATATTTTTCTGATAAATCTCCTTTTTAGCAAACGGATTCCTGAGGTACTGGACCAAAGTCAGTTAGAAGAAAAATTTCATGAAAGAATTGTCTGTAATCACCATTTCCTCACCTTATAGTCACCTCTTAGTCTGTCCTACTCTGCTTTCTACACCATAACTCTGCTACCTAAGTGCAGTGGGCATTTTTCATTTCTCATCCTACTAAAACTGTGACATCATCAACACTGTTATCCTTGTTTTTGTCTATCCTCTCCTCAACTTATATACCAGCAGTCTGTTTTCTTTCACCTTTCTGGCCATGGTTTGGGCTCTGTCTTTCTATATCTTCTAGCCATTAAATGTTGGACTCCCTTCAAGCTCTGGACTTTAATTCTAGTCATTTTATTTTATTTTGTTTGAGATGGAATCTCACTGTGTAGCTAGACTGGCCTTGAACTCATGATCCTCCTTCAGCCTACCAGGTGCTAGTATTATAGGCATGTACTACCACATCTGGCTTTCAGTGCCTACTTTCTCTCTTTCTTTTTTATTTTTTTGGCAGTACTGAAGCTTAAACTCAGGGCCTTACACTTACTAAGTAAGTGCTTTTGCCACATGAGCTATTTCCCCAGCCCTTTTTGCTTTAAGTATTTTTTGATAGGGTCTCAGATTTCTTTCCAGGCATTTTGGACATGATCCTCCTATTTACGTCTCCTGCTTAGTGGGGATGGCAGGTGAGTACACCACACCCAGTTTTATTGATTGAGATTTGGGAGGAGGCAGGGGTCTTTCAAACATTTTGTCTAGGCTGGCCTGGAATCACAGTCCTCTTAATCTCAGCCTCCTGAGTATCTGTGAATACAAGTATGAGCTACTGAGCCCTGCAAAATTTATGAATATTTACATAGAGTCTGCATTCTGATTGCTTAATGAATAGCTTGGACTTTCACATTCATATTCAAGACCTTTCCTTTGCACTCTGGATTGTATATCAACTTGCCTGTTTGTTATCTCTACTTGGATGTCCTAAAGGCATTTTAAACCCAACCTAATCTTCCCATCCATAGCTGACCTTCTTCCTGTCAGTGTTACTTCAGTGATGGAAGTGTTATTTCAGTCATTTTTGAAATTTTGGAATCCTGACACCCCTCCTCCTTAAAACCTTTCAGTGTCTTCTTGCCATGCATAGGAAGACGATCCAAATCATTACCATGCCCCACAAGCCTTTGTAGAGTTGGGACCCAGCCTGTCTCCAACCACACTGGTTTTTCTGTTGGGGCCTCAAGCAGGCTGTGCTCACTTCCATCACAAGACCTCATATGTGCTGCTTTTTCTCTGCCTTCTGAACTCTAGTCATCCTTCCTTATGGAATCATCCCTCACCCAAACTCCCCAGGTCGAGGTCAGGTTCTTGTTAAATCTTCTTATAGAAACTTATTCTTTATGATGTATCATTTTTTATTTTCATTAGTATGCTAATTTAATTAGTGTCATATATTTTGCTCTTTATTATAAAAGCTATTTTGTTTATAGCTGTATATGCCTGTAGCCTAGCCCAATTGTCACCCATAATAGGGACTCAGTAAATATTTGCAGAAAAAAAAAACAAAGAGATCAAGCTGCTAAAAATTAAACTTTCCAATGTAGGGCTGGGCTCAGTGACTCATGCCTCTAATCCCTGCTACATGGGAAGTGGATATAGGGAGGATTGTGATTGAGGCTTACCCAGGCAAAAAGTTAAATGAGACCAATTTCAACAGTCCAAAGCGTTGTGGTGAGCATCTGTGGTCCTAGCTAAGGGCTAGACTGTAAATAGGTGGATCGGGGTCCAGGCTGGCCCCAGACAAAACCATGAGACCCTATCTGAAAAATAACCTAAAGCAAAAAGGGCTGGAGGCATGGCTCAAGTGATAGAATACCTGCCTAGCAAGAACACCAGGCCCTGACTTCAAAACTCAGTACCAAACAAACAAAAAACCCGTGTAAATTAGATCTATGTAATAGATACCTTCAAAGTCTTCTTACATTCTGTCATGGAGAACAGTTTCCATAGCAGCTGAGGGTGAGCTATGGTCACATTATTTATGTTTGTAATCACAAATTTGACTGTTCCTATGGGAGTCTCATTAAGGGAGGAAAAACTTGTAAAAGTAGGCAATTATCATGGGTTCATCAGATTGCTTCTCTTCTTCCAGCTACTGGAAAGAATTGTGAAGAAACTGCCAAATGTACTATTAGGTTAATTATATTTTTGTTTAAAGCAGAAAAGTGACAGATACTTTAAAATGGTTTCTAATCAACTTTGGATGTTAAAAGCGGTAAACTTCAATTATGTGAAAACTTTTCACATCTGGAACAGCTCATTATCAACTTAAGTTAACTCTTAGCTCTTTGGAAATCTAATGATGGATAGTCATCAGAATAAGTTTTTAAAAAGTATCTAACAGTCTTTGCAGTTAATAAAAAAATTCTCAGATTTGGAAAAAAACCTCTTTATACCTTCAGTCGTGGTGTTTAGTTAAGGCACACTACTCTCTCCTTCTTACCACATTTGTGAAGTATTGACTCCTTTCATTGGAGCTGCCTTTTGGGGATTAAATGGTCTGAGTTCTGTATTTACCTCTGCTCCTGGTGGGCTCACTGGCTCTTTATCATTACTTTAGCTGTTTAGCCCTTTGACCCTAAAAAGCACTGTTTTTTTTTTTTTTTTTTCCTAAAAAGCACTGTTGAGTTGAATTCCATATTACATTTTGCATGATTGTTTTTAAATGACTATAAATACTTTTTATATACAGATTAATGATGCTGAAAATAAGTATAAGATTTTAGAAAAAGAGTTTCAACAGTTCAAGGATCAGCAAAGTAACAAGCCAGAAATCCGTCTACAGTCTGAAATAAATCTTCTCACCTTGGAAAAGGTATCATGTCAGTTTTTGCCAGCTTAGCTAGTCCTAATAATCATTTAATAAAATAAATAAGTAATACAAGTGTATGTGGTGTAATGTTTCACTGTATTGTTCTAATATCAAATAAGAACACATCATGGAATTCAGTACACATGGCACTGTTAATACTTGAATTTGTTGGGTTATGTTCATTGTAGCTTACACAAGTTAGAATACTTGATTGCAAACAGAACTTACTAACTCTAGGAACAAAACTGCCACGAGGTTGGAGAACCAGTTTCAAAATATGGCCAATAACTAGGAAGCAAGGCACAGCCAGTGTCCAGTCACAGTCTACTTAGTGCCAACACTGCCATGTCACTGGATCCCTGACCCTCTGATTCTAGAGTCATGCTGCTGCGCTGTCATTTTTGTGGTAACCATTGTTACTATTCCATGTGTCACTGCTCTAGACTCAATGTCCTAGACAGGAGCATTAATTTAAATGACAAACCTATGCTCTAGCCTTCAGCTTGGAAGAAGGGATATCCATCTCATTTTATTTTCTGTGGTTCAAAGCCAAGTCCTGCCTTTCATTTATATTAGGACTCCCACACAAACACAATATATAAGGGCTAGGCATTAAAAAATTTGTAATGTCCATCAGACCACCTAAGTTTGACAATATGTACTGAGATTTGTAAGAAGAGGAGGGGAAGCAATGTAAAGTGCTATAGGAAGTATGTCCACAGAGCACCTGCAAAGGCACAGAGGTGAGCTTAGGCCAGCCTAGAGTATATGGGATATACAATATGAGGTTTAAAATATGGGCCTTTAAAGCCACGGCAAGGAGTTTAGGTTTTGTTCTTAGAGTTGTATAGAATAGTAGTTAACAGCATAAACACAACATGACTTTGGTTCAAATTCTGGCTGTGCCACTTAGTAACTCTGTCACCTTGAGCAGGTTCTTTTACTTCTCTGTACTTTTTTCCATATCTTTTAATTGGAGCTAATAAGGTTGATAAAAGAGTTAAATGAGTTGTAAAATGCATAGGATAGAACCTGGGACATTATTAATTTTACTTAACATTTATCTTTTACTTAGAAACAAAATTTAAATAAGTGATGATGTACCATTGAAATGTTTTAAGTAGGAGAGTAGCTTGTTCTTTACATTAAAAAAAAAAATCCCAACTAGTGTCTCTTTAGCTAATAACCTATATATTCAGCTGCTTGCTCAGTCTTTTCTTGAATGTCTTAGACCAACAGTTCTCAAACTTTTTGCACTCAGGACTCCTTTACACATCTTATATTAAGAAAAAAATAATTTGTTTAATGATGGGTTGCTAATCATTAAAAATTATTAAAGGCATCAAAGCATTTTGTATCTATTAATAACCACTGTATTAAAATTAAAAATAGAAGTGTTTTAACATATTTATTCATTCAAAAATAAACCCATAATATAGGTAACTATTTTCTAAAACACATGTGAGAAGAATGACATTGTTAACCTTTTTGCACACTTTTTTACTGTCTGAGCAATAGAAGACACATACATGCTTTTGTATTCAATCTGTTGCAATAGTACACATCATGTAGCCTCTGAAAACTCCACTCTATAAAAGAATGAAAGAAGAAAAGACAAATAATGCCTTGATATTATTATGAAAATAGTTAGGACCTCTTGAAGGCTGTGAGATCAAAACCCTTATCTTCGCAATATCTCAGAATGTTCAAAACTTAAATTATCTCCCTCCCGAAAAACTGTTTTTTATATAATGTTTCTTAGCTTAATAAATGTTTCTAAGCCTGTCAATTACCAGACTATCTTTTGGGTCTCCTTCATATTCCCACATTCATTTAATGTAAAGCTTGTTGATTCTGTTTCTGACATATTTGGATAAGCTCAAGATTTCATTTTTGGCCATCTCTTCATAAATTAAACCAATGAACTTGAGTCCAGCTGGCCATTTCCCACCCCACTTTTGATAAAACCAAGTATTTCTGTGTTTATAAATACTTTATAAATGTGAAATGTAAATATGAATTATATACATGATTTTCTAGAGTATATCATAAATATTTGAAGTACTCATTAGACAGTGCTTCATCTATTGTCACAAGACATTTTAAGTAGGTGCAAAGTACTTCCATTTTGTCTTGAAATTCAGACAGTAGATTTCAAAATTACAATGAAGCTTTATCATAGCCCTCTCTGACTATGGACTGGCTGATTAGATAATATCCACCATAGAAATAAATTCTAAATGCTTTTAAAGTTTCTTTTTCCAACTGTACTTTTACTAAAAGGATAAAAATCATTAAACATTAAAAGTGTTAGCAGTACCATGGACTTGTTGAGAGGAATGTACAATTGCCTTTACATTACACCTCACGAATTCATCCAGCATGTATAAGGGCTTTTTAGCTCTTCTGAAGAGTCTTTGTAAATCTCTCTGGAGCCAGAAGAGGGCAGAATTTTATTTCTTAAGTAGTAACAGAAGAAAGCACAAAAAAAGAAAACATAAGTAGTAACAGAAGAAAGCACAAAAAAAGAAAACATAAGAGCAAAAGTATCTGATTAGTCTATAAGTTCTGGTTTGTCTAATTGAGAGCATTTTTCTTCCCTGATTTCTTGTCCTTTTCAGTATAACACAGATATTCCCATTTTCAGTGAAAGAGTAAAATTAACAATAAGATACAATTTTACCAAATAATTCTTGGTTGAGTCCCTTTTTGTGAAAGAAGTGAGTTTGCAATTCTCTTTTACAGAGGAAACTTTACATAGCTTGAAAATAATTGGCACTTTAAAAATAATATAATACAGAAAGCATATAATTTAGTAGGACATACAGAGGTTGAGAAGACAGAAAGCATACTGGAAGAATATAAGATTTTTACTCAAGCTAAAATTTATGCATTATATTTAAGAATATTTTGTGTGCCCATTCTTAGGGCAAATGGGGAAGATAGGCGAAAAAAAAGAATAGAAATATATTATCATTTTCAGACTTCTTGTTTTAACAGTTTGTTATATAATTAAGGAGATGACTCAGAGGAGTAAACGACCATGAATAATCAAATACAAAAGAATTTGTAGAAACTTTCTGCAGTTCTAAAAACTGTTGTTCAGTATCTGGTAGATTTAAGACAGGTTCACGCACAGGTGGAATTTGAGCCAAGCTTTTAGATTTAGGCAAGCAGAGAAGAGAAAGAATCAAAAGGCCCAGGAAGTAAGTAGGGTGAGCAGGGGACAGGGCATAGGGAACACAAACCTGGTTGGAGTAAAAGGCTTTTTTGATGAGGAATACTAAGAAAGTAGGTTGAACAGATAGTGTAGAAACTGTATTTCCTTATGAAGTGAGTTCCTTGAATCCCAGATGGAGGTGTATAGGCGTAATAGTGTAGGCAAATAGTAGCTACAGTAGATTTTTAGTGGAGAGTGAATTGGTAACAGTTTGCACAATTTGTTAATAGAGTTGAAGCTGAGGAGAGAAGATCCTTTTGTAGTCGAGTTGAAACTCCTAAGGAAGTGGCAGTACGAGTATAAAAATAAAATTTAAAATTATTTCAAGGGAGAAATATATACTTTCTTGTAGCAGATTGAACCTGGGAATAGAAGATAGGATATATCAAGGGCAGAAACGGGGAAATTGGGAATGCTAGCCTGTGCTCTTAGCCTTCAGTAGTCTCTGAACTGACTACATTCTGAGCTCTTTTCCTTTAGGTGTATGTAATTTGACTTCTGATACGTTACTTTATTCATGGACTAAGGAAACCTTAAATAAAAATACAAGTGCAAGTTGGGTGTGGTAGCTCGCACCTATAATCCTAGGACTCAGGAAGCTAAGGCAAGAGCATTGCAACTTTGAAGCCAGCCTGGGCTATATAGCAAGACCTTGTCTCAAAAAAAAAAAGGCAGAGACTTTCAGATGTCTCAAATCTACTTAACAATAAGAGTTCCTAACTCAGGAATATCCTAAAATTACATCAAAGTTGTGTTACGTGCATTTTTTAAGAATTGAGTCCATGTATTTCTTTAGACACGTAGAATCTGTATTCTTAGATAAAAATGAGGAGTCATTGATTTTGTGATAGGAGTGGATTAGAAGAATGATGTTTGTGTCTTAGATTTGCTAGCTACAGGTTTTTATTACGAATTTAAAAATTATATGTAGAACTATACTATACTTGCATTTTAAATTAGTATGAGTAACTATGTAAGGGTGAACTTTTTTTTCATTTTTCTTTTATTATTCATATGTGCATACAAGGCTTGGTTTATTTCTCCCCCCTGCCCCCACCCCCTCCCTTACCACCCACTCCACCCCCTCCCGCTCCCCCCCTCAATACCCAGCAGAAACTATTTTGCCCTTATCTCTAATTTTGTTGTAGAGAGAGTATAAGCAATAATAGGAAGGATCAAGAGGTTTTGCTGGTTGAGATAAGGATAGCTATACAGGGCATTGACTCACATTGATTTCCTGTGCATGGGTGTTACCTTCTAGGTTAATTCTTTTTTAATCTAATCTTTTCTCTAGTTCCTGGTCAAGGGTGAACTTTTTAAACATATATGGCAAAACTGTTAGAACCTACCCAGCTGTTTTTGGTGCTGCTGGTCCATTAGGTCTCATCCTTGGATCTATCCAGGATGCTAGACCTTCTTCAGGATCCATGGACATGATCTGTTTTATAATCGAATGCTACTCTTTTACCCCACAGCTATACAAAATAGTTTCTAGTCCTCTGAGGTATGGCCTGTGTTAAATTACCAAGTAATATGAATAAATCTTTGCAGATAAGTGGAGGAGATTATCTCTAATAATCTCAGCAATAGTATTCAACTTAAGATGCTTGAGTCTAGTTGTGAAATGTCAACACATCTAAATCCAAGCACTAGGGATTGTAAAGCAGAAAAGACCTTGACTCCATGGAGTCGTATATTACTGCAGAGAATGTTCTGGTCTTTTGTGAAGGGATTTTGGCAGCCTGCTTTTCATTTCATTTTATTTTCCTTTGAGTTTTCTGAAGTTGGAATTTTTATAGTGTCTTCATTTTTGTTTTCCTATAAAACATTAAGAATTGTATGTATGGGAAAAAACTACACTTGATATAAAAAAATTTGACTAGTTCAGAGTAACAGTGTCTTACTGTAATTCAAGCAGATTATTACATTATCACTTAATAGTAAAACTGTCTGTTGGCTACATGAATTTGTTTGGTACTTGGGTTGAAACATTGAGTGAGTACATTCCAAAACAGCCAAGTTGGCTTCATTTCATGCACAACAGATTGCCTGCTGCAAGTATAAATAACCATATTTTTAATTGAATCACTTTACTGTTTTCCTTTATATATTTGAGGAAAAATAGAAAATAAAAGTTAGATGTGTGTTATTAAGGAACATTATTTTTCTTACTCTTGGGTTTAACATTCTTGAAATATTTTTGACTTTGTATTCTTTCTTAGTAAATTTCTTTCTGATAAAGCATTTCAGTTTCCAGTGTTCCGTGGTTGTGCCAAAATATAGTTATAAAAGTATCTCTACTAGCTGTCTTCATTATAAGATAAAATTCCACATAATGGTAGGCTCCCAAAAGGAATGTTTTGGTTTCTAAGATGTAGAGTGTCGGCTAAGTTGCAATGTTAACAGAGCAGCTTTTTGTAAAAAACATGAAGTTATTTTTCACAATGTAATATACATTTTTAAATACATTTATAGTAACTGTCTGGAGGTTAAGACTAATTCAGTTCTTTTTAGTGTAGGCTTCAAGGCAATAAAAATAAGACTATATTTTAAACAAGAAAATGTTCATGTGCCATAATATTTATAGTGAATTATATAACAGTTTTAGATGATGTCGTATGTTACACTATATAAACTCTTTTCTTAAGCCAGACTTTTTGTATATATTATCTTTCAGTGATTGTACACAGTGGTATAGTGTTTCACTTGATATGATTTTAATCACTGTTAGGTTGAACTTGAGAGAAAGTTGGAATCTGCAACTAAGTCTAAACTGCATTACAAGCAGCAATGGGGACGAGCACTGAAAGAACTTGCCAGACTTAAACAGGTATGCAGTTTATATCTTGTTCATTTTATGTCTTTTCCCTTGTTTCTTTAAAAGTTCTCATGTTTGGCAACAGCTTTTATGTTCAGGTGTCTGCATTTCAATCTCCAGTGCTATTTTTTAAGATTAGGGGCTTTTTAAAATATGTTATACAAGATTCTCCTTTTTCATAATTAAAAACTGAAACTTTTAGATCTTTTTATTTGCCACCTCTCTTCTTAGAAATAATTTTTTTTATTTTCATGACTTCTTTCCTCCTTAGTATTAATCTTTCCATTGGAAGTGCTGGGGTGGGCAACTTAAGGATAACATTTTTTCAAATTTAAGAACATACTTTAAAATAATATTCCTGGGAAGGCATAATAATTCAATTAAGGAAAGGGATTACAGGGAATTTTTATATAATTTTAAGAATTTATAAACCTTGATAGTAGTTTCCTGAAAATTCTTACATTTTTTTCCTTCTAATACTAGACAACAAATACTGTTAGTTATAAGAAATTAATCTTAACTTTGGGCATAATTTCTCCAGATGATTAAGATAAAAGAAAATATGAGCGAAATTTTTATTTTGAATCTAGTTTACTTAACCTAAACCATTTAAGGATCAGTAATGATTTGTTTGCTCTAAATTTGTTTTTCCTTAGTATGTCAGTTTTCTGAATAAAATTCAATGCCTAATGTCTTTCAGATTTGTATTTTTCTTAATGTGTCTCCAAAATCATCAAATACTATTAAACATCTTTGTGTCACTGATGCTTACAGCCTTAATAGAATACTGCAGACTACATGAGAATTAAAAAGTCTAGAAAATTTATCCTAATAGCTTGTTAGATTAGTTGAAATTATGGGCATTACAAATAAAGACAGGTAGTATCTGTAAGTATGAAATAATATTATAAACAGTGAAAATACAGTTAATTTATACCCCTTACTTAAAATGCTTGCAAGAAATATTTTGGATTTCAGATTTTTTTTTCAGATTTTGGAATACTTGCATATATGTAACTCATTACAAGATATATCATACCTTGGGTATGGTACCCAAGTATAAACACAAAATTCGTTTGTCTTATATACACATTAAACATATAGCCAGGAGGTAATTTTTTACCTATGTTACAACCAAGACCATGAGGTCAGGTGTGGCATCATGTCGGCATTCAAAAAACTTTGAATTTTGGATTTTCATATGTGGGTGTTCAACAGGACTAAAGAAGGCATTATGCATAGCACTAAGGTCGTTTGCTCAAGGCACTGTCCTAATTGTACAGATACAAGTTAGAACTTTTCCCTTGGGAAGCGTGTAATTGATTAATAAGGAAGAAGCAACTATAACATTTACTGCCTAATAGTAAGAAAGTACTCGAGAAGGGGGAGTACATCTACTTAATAAGACCTAGAAAAGGTGTCACAGACAATCTTGTCTTGAGATGGACCTCTGGAAATGAAGTTAAGATTTTAGTAGAGGAATTGGTTGTACTTAGGAAAGTAGTAGGGGAAAAACAAATAAAACGAATAACAGCCACCGCACGTAAGCATAGCCTGTTCTCGTAAAATAGAGGCAGTCCCATTTGAGAAATCATTTCAGATAATAAAGCCTGGAAAATAAGTAGTAGCCATAGGAATGAAACAAGATTCTTGTCAAAGATGATGCCAAGGGTTCAAGCTGTAGTGTCTAGAAAGAGAGTTTCCAGTTTTGGAAATGTGTTAAGAAGCCTGTTGAAGTTTGGGAAGGAGATAAGATATGCAATCAAACGTCCAAAAGTGGACATTTTGATTTTTACAGAAAGAAATTCTGAACATAGTATCTTGGGGATATGATTGGGCTTAAGAAAAGAGAAGGAGTCCTTTGCAGGTGATATTTGAAGCTGTGTCAGATAGAACCTGGAATTCTTATGTTTAAGAAGGAGGAAGGAAAGCTAATGAAGAAAACAGCAAATAGAGTGAAGAGAATTGTAATGATACTGGTATGGTATTTATTGAGAGCTTACTGTGTGCCCTGAAATAAATAAGCCCTTCCGAGTTTTTCTCTTAATCCCAACAAAGGTCCCTATGTAGCAAGTAATAATCCCATTTTATAGATAAACCAAGACTTGAAGTAAAGTTGCATGTGATCACACATGTATTAAGTCATAGAGCTGGACTGAAGTCATTTGACCAGAATCCAAGGTGTTCTGGTCGTAATATCATGGTTTCAGTCCATAGAAGCCATGGAATGAAAGAATTTCAAGGAGATACAAATAAGCCGTGGAAGATAGGGATTCCTGACAAGAGGCAATAGTTGTGAGTTGGCATCACAACAGTTAGAGACCATCTCTGATAATAATTGAGGCAACTTAAGGGAGAAGAAGTTAATATAAACTCATGTTGCCAAGATATTTAGATTGCATATAGTATAATGGGATGGGAAGTCCTTTTGGAATTGGGAGCAAAGGTATAGGGTGTTGAGAATAGCTGTTGAAATTATAGGTGCTGAAGGTGTGGCTGAAGTAGTAGGACGCTTGCTAGCAAATGCGAGGGCCTGAGTTCAAATCCTGGAACCTCCCCCCCCACAAAAAAAAGTAAAAATAAAAAATAGTACAGGTTGTGTCAGAAGCAGCATGTGTAGTAAGAAACATGGCCCTGGAGTCAAACAAACAGGGTTGAATGTTGGTTTTCCCTCCTACTCCTATCACTTTGGTAATTTAAGTTCTCTGATTAGTTTCCTTATTTTTATAGTGAGAAACTTTTCTTCACAGGTTGCTCTTGGAGTTAAATGAGTGGTCTGTATTCAGTATTCTGTTTGGTAACATAGTATGTTTTCAATAAATGGTGATTTGTTAAAAGGATGTGAGCCATAAACCTGTGTTCTTGCTTTTAGACTTTGGAGACCTAATTGAACAGTGCCTTAGATGTTGATGAACAGAACAAATATTAGAGGACTTGGTCACTAATTGTTCAAAGAAATGACAGGCGTCAGCTATTAAAGTATGCAGAACAGGGGATGTTGCTTTTCAGGTTAGTGGTTGGGAAGTGGGGTAGAATACAGTTTGAGTGCTTTCAGTAGCTTTTGATTGGTAGTTTTAATGGGTGTTCTGTAGAAAACTACGCAGAAGTCAAAAACACGTAAGGACTTTAATGTGCAGCTGTTCCTGTGTCAGTAGGTGAACTTTCTAAAATTTGGGTATAAAGGATGATGAAAACGTGTAGGTAGTTCATTTGTTCACTCAACAAATGCCCATTTGCTTTTATTGGGGGGAGGGTGTTGGTACATGCTAGGCAAGTGCTTTACCACCAAAGCTACATCCCCTACCCAATAAATGCTTATGGAGAGCCTGCTGAGTACCTTAAACAGTGCTAGATAACTATGGGTATTGCAGGTGTCTCCCTTATGAAACTTAAAGTTCAGCTAGGAATTTTGGTATGTAACAGGAAGACAGCAGGGTGTTGACAAATGAAAATGTAGTCAGCATTATTAGAAAACAGGAGGACAACTAGATTATCACTGCATTCCCCAAAGTTAAAGGAGAAACATCTCAAAGAGAAAATGTTTCAAATAATAAACACTGTTAAATTGGAAATCATTTCAAGTTTTAAAATAGTGGGTGGGGAGATGGGAAGATAGTATCTGCCACTGAAGGAGTACTGAGTAAGAGACTTAATACAGTGTTAATTATATGGTACTACTAAAATCAGTTGAAAAGATGCAACAGTATTAGCTGTTTATAAGTAATCATTAGTGATTGAAACACAATGTCATTATAGTTGACATTTCCTGTCAAGAACTTTTTACTTAAATTGTTTTTTACGTCATGTTCATATGTGTGTTATAGATTACATTCTTTTTTAAGTTTGGTTGTTTTTTTTTTAATCATTGAAGGGGTTTTTAAAATAAAAGTTAAGAAATTTTCTAAATAGAATCAAATTCATGATTCTTGATCCTTTTAAACTGGGGTATTATGATGGAGGGGGTAAATGCAACTATGACAGATTGTAAGAACTTTTGTAAATGTCACATTGTACCACTAGTATAACAATACTATAATTAAAAAAGAAAAAAGTAAACAGATACTGGGGTAGTTTCTTTTAAGAGGAAGTTGAGTGTGAAAGTTTTCTACCAATGAAGTCCTTCTTCCTAACACATTCATCCTTATGTTCTGCCATCTTCTGCATCTTTCCATTTAGCTAATTTTTTTTATTCTTTTCACCATCTAGCCCAAAAAAACCTTTAGCAAAGTAACTTTAATTATTCGTTCCTAGTAAGAGAAGATACCGTAAACTTTCAGATGCCTCCCATTCTTGAGTTACTATAAACTTAACTAAGGAAAGAAAACATTGTTGAATTAGTGATTCTCCAAAACTTATACTGCATGAAAGAAAATGAAAGTCCTGGCTTCAATCTTTGAGTGCAGTATTGTTCATTGCTTTCTCATTGCAAACCAGTTTTATTCCTCATCCCACAAACTTTGTGCTTTAGAAACAATACTGTAAACAAATTTTAGGTCATTAGGAATCATTGATGTTTTGCAGACCACATAGAAATGCAACAATTTAAGAAGACAGGAATGGGGTTGTGGCTTAAATAGTAGAACATTTGCCTAGCATGCAGAAGGCCTTGCTTCAGTCCAAAGCACTGCAAAAAAGAAAAAAAAATTTAAGAAAAAAAAAGTAATAGATCTTAGGATCTACGCAGTGAGTTATGCTCTGCCACTAACTGTTTTTGGAAGATTAAAATTAATAACTTCATCAAATCGGCACATTTCATATGTAAGAAAATTACTTAAAAATTTTCCCTAAAACTTTCTATTAAAAACATATTTCTGTGTTTAGATGTAAAATTGGAGTTGTCTCTCTGCTTTTGTTCAGAGGATTGTTTGTGCAACTTCTTGTTTAAATTGGATTAGTACCATGTTAATTTTACATTGCCTCTGGTGAATAGCCACGGGGCTGTAATCCCTGCCAGTAATTTGTCACATCAAACCCTCTGGAGGGCCATACAAAACATTTGTGTAGTACGGATT